GTTATTTTCTAATATCTGCTATCATTATCAGCACGGATGGGGTATCATGCTAAAAATCGACGATAGTCAAATCAGAATTATTCCTGGACAATAGAGAGCGTGGGGTTTTAGAACATGAGGAAGAATAAGAGGTCACGGACGGGCGTCGACGCCCCGGTATTTACACGTACCGCACGGATGCTGAAAATATCTCATTTTTTCTCTTGTCAATACTTAGATATTGAACAATGTTACAGATTCATTCCAAATAGTGAGGTTATATTCTTTTGAATTTTTTTCTTTTTCAGATTCATTTCATTTGTTGTTGCTAAATGTGCATCTACATCAACAAGTTCAAACCTATATTTTTCTTTATTGTACAATTTGTAGTGGAAAAGCGTTATCATATTATTTAATAATAACTTAATTTTATCATACATGCATTTTAAATATTGTAGACTAAATTAAATATTTCTTATTATTTTTTCCGGCCCTAGATGGGCCTTAAATTGGCAAGTCGGAAAATATAGATCAAAAACTTAAAAGGAAAATTATGTTGACGAAAATTTCATGTATAATTATTACAATAACTAGCCTTCTTCCAGCAGCTTTACCTGTTTATCATTGTAAATAGGCTATATAGATAGCTGTATGCTAAATTTAATTCACATTCGTCCAGCAGTTTTTGGGTGAAGGAGTGACAAACATACGTACATTATATATAAATGTAGATTACGCATATATAGTTTTCATTATAACGCCAAAATTAGATTGTTCATCAAATATTGAAATATACACAAGTTTCAGTTGATTGAGAATGAAACACGAATGCATAGTGGCCGGCTCAAAACCAATAAACTAGATAGCATTGCAGACAGAAATAGGTCAAAGGTCGTTAGCAGCGGGTTGCGCAGCTTTAAATAGTAGGGAGGGGGTGGTGCTGCGTTTCAATACAGAATGTTGCACGAGAAATATTGCAACATATTTTTAGTCGACAACTCGACAAACTTTACCTATATATATTTCACTAAAAACCTTTTGATCTAAAAAATTTATAACATATTCGTGGGATCTGAAATTGTGTTAATTACGGTATCTGTGGAAAATGTGTGCGTTCTGTATTTGTGCACTTCTGCCTAGATCTTCAAGAAATAATAGGTGATAAATTTTGTTTGCCGGTCAACAAAATGCAACAATATTTAAATGAGTATTCAACCGTCTAATTATTCGATAAGAAGATTTTATTGGTTTCGCTTGATGACTTTTACGTATACAGAAGTCATACAGAAATAACAAATCTTTGTCAGTTCTAAATGTTTTTTTTTAAACTCTAACATCTGCTTCTAATTCTATTTCTCATTCTCTTTTTGAAGGTATTTATACTGACGCGTTGGCTGTATTGTTGGCACGTTTCGTTTATCTGATAACTCAGTCGGATTTATTATAAGTCTGCGTCACGAAGTGCCTTTAAATATTATAATGCTTCATATTTTTATGTTAATATTCGACCAAGAATATGGAATCTATTTTAGAGGATTGATGACGGACACATACATGACATCTCTACATAAAACCACGTCTAATATTTTAAGGCTGTATGCTACTACGTAAAAAATGCTTAGAACATACCTAACATGAAACCTCGTGATTCATTAGAGTTAACATCACTATTAAGAGTTTAAAATTTCATGAATTAAACTTGAATTTAGGTCGTTTACCAAATAAATATTGATCTACTTTTCTAAATGCTAGGTCCCGATTGACTAAGTATTTACTTATTCGTTAACATAATGTTACTAAACAATGACACAGATTATCCACACTAATAGATACTTCCATCCTCTTTAAGATAATTTCGTAACAATTTTTATCATTATTTTAATGTTTAGATATGGACGTTACACAAATATTTACCTTAACTGTGTTTATCGGATACTAATGTATAAATATGGGTTTATAGTCGGCATAAGTGTATTCTTGATTCGATAGACTACATTTGAAACACATAAGTAGGCGAACCGTAACGATTATGGTCATTTAGCTGTGGATGTTGGCTGTAGCGATGCATTTGCAAATTAAGATGGAGCGTAACGTAATAGTATCGTAAAATGTTGCTTTCCATTAAGTAGTGTAATTAATTCGGCAACAATGATTTCATCACCAAGAAATTCGAATTTTCACAGCCCGATTAGGTATAGTTACTTACTTAAATTTGAAACTGCTGCGTTGGTAAACACAACTGACAAACACAGAGTCCTTCGTTTGAATACCGTGTTGGGTAAAGTAATATTAAGGTTTTTGATGGCGACAGTTATCAGTGGCGGTAAAAAAACATATTATATTCCTCCTGTATTATATAACGCACGTAATAACTGCGCAGGCCTCTTTATTAAAAGCGAGCTATAAATGGCGACTGATCGATAGACTCAATATCTAGGTCTTTTAAAAAGATACAAAGTAGTGTTATATTTAATTTTAGGCACTTAGATGCTCATATCGGTTATTAGAGCGATACTTAGGCAGTTAACTGCTGACTGCACGGTTGGCGCGGTGGTTGGGCAACTGACTGCCGCGCAACGTGTCGCGGGTTGGATTCACGGAACAACTCTTTGTGTGATCCACAGATTGTTGTTCCGGGTCTGGGTGTGATGTGTATGTGAACTTGTATGTTTGTTACAGGAGAAAATCATACTGTGGGCCAACGTTAAAAAATAAAAAAAGGACTTAAATGCTAGGCCGCGTACTGTGTTTTGTTGTTTTATTCGTATTTCAGAAGCTCTAGGTTTGTCTTTGGCAATAAGCTAGCCCCTAGTACACGGGGCTCATAACAGAATTGGTGAAAAGTGGGTGAAACATATAAGTAATTATTGCACTTCTGCAAGTAGATTTTATACTGAATCAATTAAAAGCAAATATTTGTAATGTGTAGTTCTCGACATACTTTAAGCACTTCAGCGTACATTGGCTTTAAAATCAAGTAGTATACTTGACTTGTAAAGAATCGCATATCACTATGATTGGTATATAGAAGTCGAGTCGTTCAATAGAGTAATATTAATAAGGAAATCAAAAAGCGATTATCAATTTTTCTCATAACTTTTTTTATGGAATTAGTCGGTAAACGAGTAGACGGATCATCTGATGGTAAGCAATCAGCACCGCCCATAGACACTCGAAACACCGAAGGTGTTACAAGTGCGTTACCGGCCTTTTGGGTATTAGGAATTTGAGGATTATTGGGGAGATTTGGGGGGGGGGGATTAGGCTTCCAGTAACCTCACTCACAACGCAATTGTTCTTTCACGTCGTTTTTCTGTGAGGTCGTGACATCACTACGGTCGAGTCGGCCCAATCGTGCGGAAAAGCACCAAATTATGGTTTAATTGAAATAAATGCTTTGACTTTGACTTTGACTTTGAAACATGGCTCTCCTCTCCCATACTTAAAACTAAACTAAAGCGATAACTTTTTAATTTGTGTAACTGTAAATTTTCTACTGAATTTAGTTGTCTTTAGACTATATAAAACTAGAATGTTCAATTTGTTTTTTACTACATAAGTTTGTACTCTCTAAACTAGGTCAAAGATAATATAATCCCTTAGTATTAAATTATTACTAAGTATAAGTATCTGTCTATCTACTTAGCGACGAAAGACAAGATTACCTATATTTTGAGTAGTTGTTCCGAATGTAATAATATATGTAGGTACTCGTAGACACTTTATAGTCGTAGAATGATTATTGCATGTTCTTCAAAGTCTGTGGATTTATTGATTTATGCCTTATCCGTTATATTTATATCACATACAGTTTGTCGCAGCACAAATGGTATTGAATTAACGTTATTTTTATATAATTTTAAACTAATGTCCGAGTCTGATTTGTGGTTCAAATCTTGTTAATTTTTCGGTATTTCTTTAATTTACGTCGACATTTATGGTAAATGGTGTTAACCCCTATACTTATTATACTCTTTGATGGTGTTCTAAAAAGTAATATACGTAAATAGTTTTTAATTTAAATTGCTTTTTCATTCAATTTGAAGAATAATATCCTATTACCAAAGTTACCCCTATACTCTTTGTTCCAAGTGGTCTCAAAGTATTGCTTAAATGACAAACTAACTCACCAAATTCATGACATGCCAGTGTTATATATCTATGCATGTCAGACATTTTTTTCAGAGAAGGCAAAGAGCAAGGTGACTATGATGTAAGGTTATGAAGAAAGGAAGTTTTATATTTCATTAAAAATTGGGTATATGCCTTAATCAAAAATAAATTATTTCGACTGTTCAATACAATAAAATATTAAAAAATAATCACACTTTCATTAATTGATTTTAGCTTAGTTTTAGTATTTTTCCGGCAAATTTTTAAGTAATAAGTATGCTGTTTGACGCTAAAAAAACGTCACGTCACAATACACAATCTCGTACAAAATTCAAAAGTATCGTTTTTGACAGTTTGAAAAAACTATTGAATTTGACTAGTTGGCATTCAATTGTCTTTGAGGTAGGTACTACTAAGAGTACATCTACCTTCAGCAAAATTATAAAATAAGTATATATGATTTGCAAACATAAACGCGATTTATCTATATGGTTAAAATGAATAAAATTGTATAGATGAGGTTATCTTCAATTTGATACAGTAGTCGGTAATCGTTTTATTTATTTTTTTGCAAGGACTTTTGATACTTCTAGTATCACAAAGTCAATATACTATTTTTCAATGTCGATGTAATAAGTACACAAGTTATATAATTCTATTTTTTAGCCAAGCGAGGAGCTGCAGTCTGTATGAGACGTAAAAGGCCTGTATTATTTTTTCTTTTCTGTCGCGATGGAATTCCTAATGTACTTCCCAAATCGTGGAGACGACGAGGAATGCCAGAGTTACACCAACTACACAATCTCCATGTTTATTATTTACTGTTTGATTAAAACCTTATAATAAAACATAGACAAGCAATTTTTGTAAGAATGAAACCTCTTCATTCCAATAAACAATTTGGAAACATGGTGGGAAAATGTGTCAAATCAAAGGATAGTAACAAAATTTTCAAGTGCAATATTATTTACATCAAAAGTCTGCAAAAATATAAAAAATACAGTACAATGTTGAAATCGTCGCAGCTTTCGCCCGCCGGTGGAATAGGTATCTAAATTTTTGTAATAACATCTAAAAAAATTTGGTCAGTTTTAACCTTCTTTATTGGAACAAATTGGTTTAGCTGTATGCTGTATAATTGGTTTTTTGATCTTTAGATAACTAAAGATTTTATAAAAAATCACAGAGTTAATTTCTTCGAGCTTTTTAGTACGTAACCTCGGCTGGAAGACATTCACACCTAACAAACGTCGGGTCGGGAATTACTTTTAATAGATTTTCCACCTTATACTTTTGTAATAAAGTGCAATATCTATAAATGGAAATTTCGACTTAACCACCGCGGTATCATTGTTGGGTTCGGGGCTGCTGATTGCTGGCGAACTTGGAGATGGCGGTTCATGGACGCACGGCTCAACTACATCCGATTTGGGAATAAAAGGCAATATTCTGTAACTACACCCTTCTCTTTGAGTTTCGTGATAGGGTTGTTCGTGATATTTACCACACTTGTTTTAAAAATCTCAATTCAATCAAGGGCAAGAATAGGATAATATTCGTTGCCGTGGACTCACATGTTAATGTGGATCAGCATATAAAACAAAAGGTTTATTCGTTATTTATTCACTATGGAAACGAGGGGGACAGAAATGGCCTTGTTTGTAGCAAAAATGAAACCTGAGAAGGGAGAAATTAGGAGGGGGAGAGACGAGAATTTATTGACGGACGAGATAGTGTGAGGCCCTATTATTGTCATAACAGTAAACGATATTTGCTGTCTACTTATTTCAAAAGAAATATACGTACCTTTTTGTTTTACCTTTAATCAATAGACCTACCTACCTGCTACCTAATCGGCTCTTACCTTCTGTTTACAACCTTGGTTTTCAATGATTACTGATATACTTACATTTATTTATTACATCTGCTAATCCGAGGACAAAGATAGCTGACTTTACTTGAGATATAAATTTATCTGAAACAACACAAACTGAAGCGTATGTTTTCCTTTATGCTACTTCATTTGCTATAGGTAGGTACATAATACATACTCCATAATGATTTGTGCAATATTGTCTTGAGTCTATCTATTTCAAATGTAAGCGTACTAAACTTATCCTTGCATACAATTATGGAAAGTCGTAGAAGGTTTTTTACGTATTTGAATTTTAAGGCAAGTATTAAGGAAACGAAGTACCTACATAATATATTCGTGAAAGATTCAGTATTGCGGGTCAACCTGCAGGCAGAAAGTATAGTTTGATCCAAAATAGATAAAGACAATTTTCAAGAATAACAAAAAAGAAATTCCGTGGTTGCCAGAACGTAGATCTACGCGAAACACAATGTATTTTCTATTGTGTCTCATATATCGGCACTCAAGAGGTTAAAGGTATATCTAATATACATTGACCATTTAGCTCAAATAAAAATAACACTGGAAAGCTATGATAATGAAGAAAATACTATAATTAATTAAGTACCTAATCTATTCTATTCAGACGCGACACCGTCAACAAATTCGAATCAACAAGCTTCAGTCAATCAGATTCGCCAGCGTCCTCTAGGTAAGCAGCAACTGGCTAGCTTACTTCAAGATGTCTTGACGCCCGCTGAAGACTATGTGCGGCCAAGTGAGCTTTCATTTACTTTACCATTTTTTGTTGAAATGAGTCCCTATATAGAATCGTTACTTGATCCATGATATTGATCCATAACCAAATTAAAATTTACAAAATAAGAGGGCTTACGCATACATGCTTATTATGCTCTTTAGGTTGGTAATTAATTAATTTTTCACTAACAACGATTGTGAGAATTGGGTAGTTTCCTAATCTTATTTGAATGACCGTCCGGTAGATTAATTTAAAACATTTCACATGTTTTTTTCTTTTCTCACAAAATTAAATTAAATACTTTTGATGATACTTCTGACAAAATTTGTAGCACGTTGTGACGTAACGACCACCCACTTTAAACTTAACGCCATTTTATCTAAGTATACGAAATATAAATATTTATTGTCTAATATTTATTCATTCCAGTTACTTTAATTGGTTTTTGTTCTCAACCGTTGTAACTGTAATAAATAAATTCATTACCTAACTGACGGACTAATTAGATTTTTAATTTCCTTAACCTGGCAAAGAACTACCCTATTCTAGAAAATTAAATTCTTTAAAACTTTCTTATGATTCCTTGAAATCATTACCATCATACTCCTTTTGGTGACTTAAATGAAAATAATGGGAGTCGCTATCATAAGGGCAAAAATAATTAAGTGTGTTAGCTGAACATTGTATAGAAAAATGGCAACCATAAATAAGTTTTTTTATTAAAATGCAATCAACATTATGATAAGTTATGTATTATTGAGAATGCCTTCATGTATATAGCCAGGGCATTGAAGTCAATGTCTAAATAAGTAGCTGATAAGCGGATATCATTAATATAAGCATTTATTTGTGTAGATAACGATAACGGTGCGAAGAAGCGACCCGTGAGGCTTGTCAACAAGAGGGCACACTCCGTCAGCCCTGCTGCAGGACGGCCAAGAGTTAGTTTGTTATTTAATACCATTCATTATTTAATACCACACATACATACGTACTAAGAAATCCTACTAATATTATAAATGCGAAAGTTTGTGAGGATGTATGTGTGTGTATGTGTGTCTTTGTTACTCTTTCACGTCAAAACGGCTGAAGGGATCGTGATGAAATTTAGAAAAGAGATAGGTTATAGTCTGGAATAACACACAGGCCACTTTTTACCTCACGGGTATGTGGGCGAAGTCGCTGACAGAAGTTAATCAATTTTTTTTTTATCTTTATTTACTTAATAGCTTTTACCCGCGGCTTCGCTCGCGTCACAAAAAGATAAAAAAGTAGCCTGTGATATATACCAATACACACAGCGCCATCTATACCAATACTTTTGTTTTCCCTCGGTAATATCAAAATTTTCCGGGATAAAAAGTACCCTATTATTTAATCCGGACTTCTAACCTTACGTCTGCAAAAATTCAAAGCAATCGGTTTAGTAGTTACGGCGTGAAAGCGGAACAAACAAACAAACTCACTTTCCGATTTATAATATTAGTAAGGATATATAAATGTACCTATTGGAGTTTTTATCCATTAAGGATATGCCAACCCCACGAGTAAATCTAATATAACATCATCTTTTAATGCAATGAGTTACTGGATACTGAGAGGCCAATCGTTGCATTGTGTCCTATAAAATGTTCTGTATCCACTGTTGAACACGTAGACTTAACGGCCATAATAATAACCGATCTCCATTAAAAAATATGGTTTTTGACATATAATAAATACCTATGTGGAGTCTAATAGAAACTTCATCTAGAGACTTTGGAATAAAATCAGGTTATTATTTTGACCGTTAATAGATACTACGTTCGATTCAGTGAAATGTAAGGTGTAAGTGGGAAAACAATGCGGTGTTTTGCTGTGCGCAGTTCTACTTGTTACAAAATATTATGATAGCTAAAAAACAGTATGGCTGGATTTAGGCATGAATCTAGGCCACGACGCACATAATGTCTTGTGCGGTATCTCGATCAAAACAAAATTGTGCATTCGTGAATCATCTTTATTCTTCAAATATTTTTTTTTTCAATAAGATTGTTTGTTTGTGTAGACGTCTGGAACTGCCAGTCCGCTTTTTTGCTTTTATTCGCTTATTTATTGTCGGAGGTTGGCACTCTGTGCTACTATTTTAACACATGCGAACAAATGAACAAATTCGCGGGACTATGCTAGTCTATTTTCATAACTACAAGTTTTTTCACTTCATATATTCTTGAGAATTGTCATCAAGTAAAAATCGTACTGTGGTTGTTTATTGTTTGTTAAGTTTTAGTTTAGGTATGGTAAAAGATAGAAATACTTATATTATGTTTTTCTGTAAATAATTTATTAGTTTTTCGATATTATATTTTTCAATTTGAAGGTACTTTTATAACTGAAATTTCTCAGTAAAGCAATTCCTGTCGGAGATGTCTTCTACGGTTAGTACATTCTCAAGTCCCTATTTGTTGGTTTTTTGTTCCGAGAAAAATGTTATGATAACGAATGTTAATGGTACCTACATCTAGGGCTGTGCTTGGTGAGTTTTTGATTTGCTAGTGTTTTTTTTTAATAAACTGTATTCCGCTTGATTGCTTTCTCCGTTTTTTATAAGTCTGGAGGTTAAGGTGAAATGGTTTGCGGTGTTATTTTTTATATTTGGTTTTTACTTTTTATTAAAGTGGTTTTGCTACTTTCTTATCTTTTTAAGAAACTTTCTAGTTGTACCTTTAGGTACCTATATCTTATCTTATTTTGAAAAACACTATAAAATTTCATAGTCTATAATAGCGTATATTGCAGTTTTGCCCAGCAAGAATATTGTAACCAAAAAGATTTTTTAAAGTTAATTACTCTGAAACACAACCTTGGATGCGTTTGTCAGTGTAACCTAAATCATTGTATGTTTTTTTTCTATGTTGAAGTTTTGGTATTTCATTATGCATGTTACTGAACTCTTTGATTTCTAATTTTATTTCCAAAATACAATATACTTTGCAGTTTACACTGAATTATGATTGATTTTTTCTTTTATGAGAACAAGTTGCTGGTAATAATTTCCAGAGCCCTCCTAAGAAGCCTGCAGACAGAAGATGTCAGAGTTTATCGCCTTGTACGCTTGTGAGTGTATATTTTTTCTATTTATTACTAAAATATATATCTATAAGTCTGCTTTTATTCAACATAAACTAAATTGATCGGACTTATGAATGAAAATTAATCAACACTAATAAAAATAATTCCAAACGTGTTATGGTCGTAAAGTGACAATGTTTAATTTTGTTTTTATATTTTCAAACACTTTTTTTTTTAAGTAAATCGTGAAAAACAAATTAATTTTACCCTGTATTTTTTTTAATTTTACCCTGTTTGTTTTAATTTTATTTAATTTTACCCTGTACAAATAAAACAGAATAAAAAAAAGTCCCAAGAGCAAATCCCGCCCGTGTGTGCTTCGGCGACGGATGGGCTGGGGCAGTCCTATCCAATCATGGATACTGAAGGTGGTAACTCAAAATATTTTTTTATATATAACATACACATAACTACATGAATAGTGCAGACCACTATAAGTACAGTCTGCACAGTAATTTTGTATGATATATAAAATATGGAGTTTTTAATATCTTTTGTAACCATTGGTTAGTAGGTAGTGTCTGCACTGTCAATCTTTAAAAATATAGGTTGTACCTGCATACCATATAATTGTGCAGATTGTACCTACCTATATTATGACAATTGTGCTTCTTTTTAGAAAAAGACCTGGTCATGCCCCAATGCGTTATAACGAAAGTGATGCGGATACTATCAACGAAAAAACGAGAGTTCCTCAAATTGCGGAAATGTTTAGTAACTCAGCAGGTCAGTAAGTTAACTAATATGAGTATGAAACTTGAAGGTCCTAGATATGCCGCCTGCTTAGAGTGAGTATGTTGTTCGACTGTGAATGCTTGCTGCTCTCTCTTTCTAATTAATAAAAACTCTACACAGACTAAATTTATATTTAGAAGCGAATATTTTGTTGAATAATTGACTTTCTAGAACGCTCTCCTGGAAAATTACGCTCAACTGAAGGAGCTGGAGTTACGTGTAGGGGTCCCACATACAGACGATTCCCTGGGCGAAGTCCGAATAGTTTCTGTCAGCAACTGGCCAGCGCATGATCTGCTGTTGCTCGTTCGCGACGATCTCGAATTGCCTTTACACTCAGAGATAAGTGGAATTTTTGGTGAGCTATCAAAATGTGACTAGAAAAGGTCGGATCAAAGAATTTTCTTGTTATTAACTAAGCACATCTGTCTCCTCAGGTCCACATGTATTACAACAGATAACTGCACAATTAAACCCAATTCCTGAAGAAATGTTAGCGGTTAGTGCAGAGATAATGGCACGACGGATAGAACTTCTCAATGTATTGAGAGGCAAACACCGCAATGATCGAGCTACCTACCTTACTGTTAGCAAATCATTTCATCATTGAAATATTCGCCTTTAATATATTCTTAGAATATCAGATAAGCAGTCGTTTATATGTTTTAGAATTTAGAGTGGAAAACAAAGAATTCAGAATTTGACAATGAAACTGAGAAGCTACACAGATTGGTAGCGGGCACTGCAGAAAACTTGAAGGCTAAGATCAATTACTCTTTAGAGTTGGCAAAGTACGTGAGGGGTAGTCTACTTAATGTTCTATTATTTTTTATTTAATCCGTTATTTTAAAATATCTATCTCTTTTACACGAAACTTGATCCCATTGTTCTCAACAATTAAAAAATGTTTGCGGTTTATGATCTGCACTATAAGCACGTTGAGACTCCACTGTAAAGGCCCTGCGAGGCCCCCTTTCAGTGGTAGACCGTGGGCAGAGGCCCAAACAGCGCACGTCTATTACGTTTTCATGAACTGGAGAGGATTCAATATCTTCTGTTTATCCATCTACTACTGTACCTAGGAAACTGAAACTTAGAATGTAGGTATATTTGGAGAGTGTAGGCATAGTATAAAGAACACAGTAGGTTATCTAAGGCCGCCCGCCGAGTTATTAGCCTACTCTTGCGTTGATCCCCAGGGTTGTCACTTTTACTTTTAGTTAATATTTTCGAACAAGCAGCACTTGATCTAAATTTATGAAATGAAAAGCATATTATGATTGAATATTTTATCAATTTATAAATTTAGTAAAAATAAAAAGCTTATAAAAAGATTATTAACTTCTTAAAATAAACTTTAGCTCTATACATAGTATTCAGAAAGTAAATTTTGGAATACATTTATATGGAAAAATGCGACACGGCCACGCTCTTAACAAATCAGATAAATTGTGAAATAAACTAAATACCACATTTTCTTATAATATTGAAGTATAGTAGGTAATTACATTTCTGGTTGAGTAGGAACTATGAAGAATGATAAGAGTAAGAATAAGTAAGTAGGTATCTCATCATCAAGTACCTACAAATTATATTATGCTAGAAAAAGTGACTAGCTTACCTTTCCTGTTCAATAGGTAATCTGAACAGAGACAGTTCACAGACACTGGAATCGATTAATTATTAAGACACCCAAACACACAGCAATACGTTCTTCTACGGTTATCAGACATTTTTTATTTCATTTAACAGTGCCGAAAAGTAATGCGCGCGCGAACCTCGTGCAGTGTTAGCCCTGCCAAGCGCACTGAGAAACGGGTCGAGATTTTGTTAAAGTGTGCGTGCGTCGACGCATAGATACTATGGCGCACACATATAAGCCGCGCGCGGAGCATTTGTATGAAGATAACCTACTTTGTTCTTTATACTATGGTGTAGGGGAGCACTAAGAGATAATTTCCCTAAATTCCCACGAGTAAGGGAAATACAGAATAGAAAAATAGGAATCATCTATTTGTGCGAACGAAGTCTCGGACAGAAGCTACTTCTAATTATATTATTTTAGTATTCCATTACAATTAATAAAAAAACCCATATACGTGCTTTAGGATTCCTTGGATCGATAGAGAAATAATGACGAAGAAAATTGAACGCCTTCATAAAGAGAACATGATATTGCAACATAAGATAGACGAGTATGCTAAAAAGGATCCTGATGATACTAAAGAACTTGGACAGATGGATAATATTCCTAGCCATCAGGTCGTTGGTTGATTAGATATTGTAATTTTTTCAAATATTTGAAACTAGTTTGTTTGTTTTTTAAGTCACTTAGCAATAATGTAGTTAATATTGAACAAAGTTATTTGGGTAGAATGATTGGTATATAAATGTTCACAGGCTTTATGTGAGGAGCTGTCCAAGGAACGTGCCGCCCGTGAAGCTCTAAAAGAAGTAGTGTCAGCTGCGGAGAGCATGCTGAGAGTTGCACGCGCGCGCATCGCGACGCTAGAGCGCCAGCTCAAGGACACGCGCGCTGAACTCGACGCGGCGCGCAAAAAACACAAAGACCTCGAGCAACTCGTAAACAGACTCGCACAACATACAAATACGACAGTGAAGTTGTAACACTCTACATTACGATCCCACTCTGAGGGATCGATTTACCAAATATGCAAATGTGTCTTATTTCAGTTGGAGATTTGATCAGGACGTTTTTATACGCCTAACCACTATAATATCATGAAAAGAATAATTATGAAATTCTTTAGTTGTTTCATAGAATTCGAATAGAGTTTTGTAGAATTCCAAATATTTTTTAGTTATTTACATTTTATAGAAGGGCATCACAGTTCACTTGAACGGTAGTATGTTGTTTCAGTATCGTCACCGAGAAACTAGCTACGATGCACGATCTAAGAAGTTACTTGAAGTTTCTAAAACAGGAGAAATAACTATTGAAACACTATCACGTCAAAGAGATGCTTTAGAGCTCAGGTTCTTTTCAGTATGCATATTGTACGATGAATGCATGACGTTTCTGATTTAACTAAAAATTATAACGAAAAAATCTCAGGGTAAAGGAGCTCCGAGAACAGGCTGAGCAGGCGGAGAAATCTGCAGCTGCCAAAGAAGCAGAGCAACGTGCTCGCGCCGAGTCCCTCCAGGCGAAGGTAGCGGAACAGGTGCTAAGCCTTCGGGTCATGTTAAATCCAAACTTTGACTGACACAGGTTAATTGTGATGGATTATTTAAACCAGATTTCTGCACAGGAGAAAGTTAAAGCAGCGACGGAAAATCGTGTCATCGAACTGGATGCAAAAGTAAAAGAGTTAGAAGAGCAGTTACAAGCACTGCGTGAACGCTCTGTTAGATTAGTAGACATGGAGCGACGACGTTGCCTCGAGTATGTGCCTTTGAAAGGTAAGTTGTGGTAAACTTTAAGGCAGTAATTATGAATTTGGGAAATATTAGGCGATTAATTTGTGTTCCGAATGTACATATTTACAAGAAATGATGACCACAGAGTACATTGAATATACTGTGAACGTTACAACATCAATGAGACTAGTTCAGTTGAGTCGACGAGAGTGCGCACCTAAGTTCCGTGCTGAGGGCAGGATTGATTCTGCCAAAATTGGCATAAATCCAATCCGCAACATGTAAATGTAAATCCACATAAAGAATCTATACAAGTAATTGCATTACAGAAAATGAGCCATCTGATAGAGAAACTGAAATATGGAAAGAACTTCAAGTGACTCGAGTGGCATTATCCAGGGTAGAGGAAGAACTTAGACAAAGTCGAGCAGATAAAGATAACTTTTTAAACTCCTTATCTCGAATAGCGGTAAGTTATTAGATTGTAATCGTAAATGACGATAGCTACCGGTGTTCATAAAATAATTTTATCATACATTTTAGCAAGGAGAAGGTGCAGAATCTGTGCAGGAAAAAATCGCAACCGAATTACTAGATAGGGAACAGAAGATAGCTAAGTTGCAACATGTTATTGAAGATCAACGTGAAAATGAAAAATTGATGTAAGTTCTTTGTAGCTGCATATAGAGCCCGATTTCAGATGATTTTTGATTCCATATACCTATTGAGATTTCTATTTTCTTTTATAGCACTGGTGCCAACGTGGTTAGGTCCCACAATTAAATTGAATTTTATCTAAGTAACTATGTAGTCGCTCGACTTGGATTCTTTTCTTTATGTCAAAACCATTGTAAGCTTTTCGTCATGGTATTTTGATTTTAATTTACAGGGAACAAAGTATGACACAATATGAGAACCAGCTCGCAGCGCTACGTCTAGAAGTAAAACGTTTACGGAATTATGACGGTTATGCGAAAGAAGTGCCTTATCAAGAACTGCATACGGAGGTTTTAACAATTTGTAACAGTAAAATGTGATCGATATTTTACGTAAATAATTAAATTTTGTTCATGGGTTTTAGCTGTTGGAGTTACATATGCAAGTGGAGACACTGTCCCGAGAACGCACCGCGTTGGTGACAGCCGCGGCTTCCCGCGCTCTTATGTTGGAGCGGCACGAGCGCGCGGCTGATCTGTTCGCGCGGATGATTCGCGCTCGTCGGGATTTGTCAGCATTACTGGACGGTCGCACAGACCCTCCTACTCTAGACGAGACTGCTCATGCCGAGGTATGACTGCTCATGCCGAGGTTATGTTCTTGTTTAGGAGTTAGAAGCTGGAATTGTTGGAGCATAAGCTGTTACCCCAATTCTGTTTTTTGTTTTACTGCTGGCTTCATCCTTATGTCATTATATGTAACAGTATCAGACAGAAACAATTAACACTTTATACACACTGTTACTTACATAACGTCACACCCATAAATATTATATTAAATATTTCTGTGGTCACAGTTTTTGGTAGATAGTAGTGGTCGTATTATCAGTACAAAGCAACAGCCACTTTACATTACTTTATGATATACTAGCGACCTGCCCCCGCTTCGCACGGGTGGAATATGCATGTATTATACATAAAAACCGTTCTTAAGAATCACTATCTATTTAAAAAAACCGCATCAAATCCGTTACATAGTTTTAAAGATCAAAGCATACATAGGGACAGACAGACGGCGGATAGCGGCTTTGTTTTATACTATGTAGTGAAGATGATATCGGACATAAATAAGTTGATTAATTTACTAGCTTAATAGTAATAGTAACCATAAATCATACCTCTACTTGGTTATAAAATAATGGATTGTATTTGCATAACGTTTGATCGTTAAATATCATGTAGGTAAACATTTACATAATTTATGGTTGCGTGAAATTGAGAACAAGAGATTAAAATTATTACATTATATACTTCGATATAGAATAGGCAATATAAACAGGTTAACTGTTTAGTATTTTCAATAGGTTTCACGATCGTTGTCGTCGGTGTGCGCGAGCGCAGCCGACACGTGGACCGCACTGCGAGCGGAGCGCGCGCGCGTGTTGCGGTTGGAGAGCGCAGTGCTCGCGCAGAGCTTGCAGCTGGAGCGCGAGGGGCGCGTGCGCACACAGCTCGAGAGACGCAGAGCTATACTAGAGAGAGAAATTATGAGATCAACAATTGATGGGTCGGCGGATCCATCAGTTTTGAATCCCATCAAAAATCCAAGTTTGGTATTCTCTCAATCATTTTTTACGTATTTTGGATTGACGGTGTTTATGTTGAACCTCCTCGCTTTCATTGTCTAATATTAAAGTGTGAAAATGTGTCTTAAGTTAAATATATTTCATTTTTGACTAAATTATTTTTGACTGTCTTTTTTCCAAATGCTTCATAACTGAACAATAATAATATTAGTCTTTTCTCTTTCAGATTTAGGACATACGTGGACCTAAAAGAAATATGACGCTTCCACCTTTTTAAATTAATAGTCGAGCTGCATGTTATATTGTCAATAAATTGTATAATTAAGTCGCACATAAGATAATTTTATTTCAATTAAACAAAGGACGTTTTAGATGCTACAGTTACCCAGTACAACACAAACACATAAATACTGTAATCACAACACTCATAGCCGATGTCCAGCAATTTTAAACATCTTACACTTTTTTTCGTCACGTAGTTGATTACTGGTCAATAATTGTATATTTCTAGACAACAAATTATCTTTAAGGTGGCTACTAGCTGGAAGCAGTCCTCTGAACGGTGGGTAGATATTATCTTTTATCGATGTAGGATTGGGCATGTTGGGATACGCGTTTATGTTGGGCTCAGGAGGGGCAGCCCATTTCTGTGTATCAATATTCATGATAGCTTTTTTACGGTCTAGATTATCACCTTTGAATTGTTCTTCATTAGTTGATATGTATGTTTTCTTGATGAAGTTGCCCAATTTAGTAGGGAGCGTTTCATGATCGTTTTGGTAATTAGGCTGGTTGATACCTTTGTGACATTCAAAGTTTTCATGTTTGTCTCTTCTACGATCAGCTAAATATTTCTTTTTGGTCAGAAAATCATGCTCTTTATTTATTAATGATGGTTCAAATGGAGTTCCAAGCTCATCTTCTAGAATTTTTATTATACTATCTAAATTATTGGCTGGAACTTCAATGTGCCTATTTTCCATGTGGTATGCCTCATATTCGACTATTTTTTGCTCTAACAGTTTGATCTTATCTTGATCATTTCTTCTTTGCATGCTAGCTTTACGAGTTTGGTCCTCTAACGTCAAAATGATTTTCTCTAATTGAGATATTTGTTGTTTTCTCGTTTCAACATTTGTGAGAAGAGCTTGGATCTCTGCATTTTTGTCTGTAATTTGCTGGTTAAGCTGCTGACAAAAATGTATATTATTAAGAATTAACCTTTTTTTAAACCACTTACTTGAAGTACTGTTTATATGTTAAAAATCAATTTAAAAAAGTATCAGTACCGTTACGTCGTAGTTACTATGTAAGTAGGCCTACAAATTTACAATACGTATGTTAGTAGTCATAATGGTGTCAACATTATTTTCACGCCGCTATTGCTAAGCTGTAGCATTTACCTACTTCTCTGGCGGAAGATTATTCTAAGTTATCATTTTACTCACATCAATATCGGCTTGATTCCTCATCTCCAAATTAGTTCTCAAAAGTTTTATAATATTAGTTTGTTCTTCATCTTTCTCTGACAACATTTTTATGACACCATTTCTCTGTTCTAGAATCTGTTCGTGTTCACCAAATGTGTCCAAATGTCGTATCAGCTCCATATCTTTCTTTTGTAAAGCTTCAGCAAGTTCTCCATTTTGTCTAGTCGCTTCTAGTAACTTGGCTCGTTGTTGATTCACCTAAATATGTTTTTATTACAAGGTGAAATACAAACATACCTAATACAATCTAATTTTGCTTACTCATTATCCAAATCTAGTTCTTTCAATAAGTTATATCACACTAACTAGTTATTATGTTGTTTACCATTTCATGAAGTTCATTTAGAGTCTCAAATTCACCAAAATCTTCCTGTAACTCTGCAATATGCGTTTTTAGGGACGATAACTGTTCCTCGTATGTCCCCATTTTGCATTCACTACAACATAAATAACAGTATTAATCTAATATTATTTGATTTTTACTTGATTTTTACATAGATTGATATATTAAATAAATTCTTTGTATTTTAATTCTCTGTAGTTTAGGGCTCGTACGCAAATGCGATGCGATGCGATGCGAATTCGCACCGCCGAAAATTACGACACAAATTGCTGCGATGCGATTTCTTGGGACAAGGCGGCTCCCAGGGAGACCATTCCGTACGAAACGTACCTATTTTTAATTTAAAACTAAGTCGTGGCATGGATTGTAAAAAGAAGTGTGCACTATTGTTATTGCTTATCAAGTAATCAAGTAATCAAATATTTATTGCATCCATAATGTACATATACAGGTGGTTAGAAAATACAATTAGTAACAATTATGGACCCTGTCGGACACAGCAACATTTAAAATTGGTAGGAGAGAGGAAGGGCATTTTGTTAGATTTATATTAATATAATCAAAATTAATAAAAAAAAGGTATTAGACAATTAAATTATTGTAATGTATGAACGTTACTCAGTAGTTCTTTACCTAGTCTATACCTAGGATATTTAATTTTGGGTACCTAATTGCATTGTAAATCCTGTATTAAATTTTTATTTAGGAGGATTTTTGCTTAGGAGGTATAGGAAAAAGAAACAAAGAAGAATTTGGGAATATAAGAATTTGATACGCGATGCGAATCAATTTGCAAGTTCTTGCGATGCGTAGAGTTCGCATATTTATGCAATGCGACGTTTCATCGCAGTTTTGTGTACGAGCCTAATTTGGTAGTTTTAGTAGACGGGACGTTTAAATGTTTCCATATAAAGCCTCAAAAAATAATTTACATAATTATAATTTATAAGACTGACAGATAAGATCGAACATCCTTCATTTCTAACTCTTTCACAGTTAGTGTAATTAAGTTATGGAACGCACTACCGCTTAACATAAAAAAGGCTCCAAATAAGATCACTTTCAAACGCGATGTTCACGATTTCTTTTTAAAGTCACTACAACGCTGAGTCTAGGTCTATTATTATTATATATGTATTATTATAGAATTTATTTATTTAGTATATATATATATATATATATATATGAGCATGCATATATATACCTATATATTTATGTTGTATTTATATTGTAGTGTACATTTTAAATATTTTTTGTACCTATCTATATTTATTAAAGTCTATTTATGTTATTTGTTTCTTATAATTACACATGCCTATTTTTTCGCCGTTTTTCAATTTAACCCTAAGGTTGACTGGGAGAGAATGCCATATGGCATTAATGTCCGCCTTATGTACCATTACTTGATTCTGTGTACATTAAAGCTTAAATAAATAAATAAATAAATAATAAAAAATGTAATTTACCTCTCTTGTAACTGGTGCTCTAACAACGATTGTTTCTTTTCAAGTTCAACAATGTACTCTTCTCTGTTGATTAGAGTATTTTTCAAATTTTCTTCTAAACTGATCGACTCTTTGAAATTATTCTGCATGTGGTGATGTAAAAATATGGATAAATGTATTTATCTTCTATCTATATCTATACACATATAATAAAATTGTAGAAAAGTGCTGTCTGTACATTGAAAATAAAAATAAAAAAAATAGCAGGGGTTATTGTTATGTCGATGTCGAACCCAAAAATGTAATTAACTTTTTTTTTGTCTGTTTGTCTGTTTGTCTGTTCACGCTAATCTCAGAAACGGCTGATCCGAGTTGGATGCGGTTTTCACGAATATATTGTGGTATGCTTAGTTATGCTTTAGTGTTTGTTTCATGTCAATCGGTTCATAAATAAAAAAGTTATGTCAAATTAAAGAATCACGTCGTGAGTATATATTTAAAAAAAAAACGCTGCTCATAGTCACTATTCCACGCGAACGAAGTCGCGGGCACAGCTAGTTGTATAATATAGTAATAAAAAGAACACCAATAAAGGTCATCACTGCTTACCTCAAACTCTTTTATCGTTTCACTTTGTTCGCTCAGTCTCGTTCTGTAATCTTTAATTTCAGCTGTTGCTTCTTCTAAATCTCGTTTAGCTACTAATAACTCTTGTTCAAATGTTACCGCAATATCTTTAAACAGTTAATAGAAATATTAAAGCATCTAAAGTTTAGAATTTGAAAGTTTAACGCACAAAACTTACTTAATTGATTTCTCGTTTCCTCTAACTCTTTCGCCATATCTTTTGCTCCAAGTTCCATCTCTAAAAGTTGGCCACATACTGTTTCCAATCTTTCTTCGACCTTTTTCCTTTCCTCTACTTCTTGTTCGTATTTCTTTTCAGTTTCAATAAGCTTTGCTACGTTCACGTTCATATCATGTTTTATAGTCTGAAGAGATTCATTATAATAATTGGACAGGTCACCGAGCCGCTTTTCTAAATCTTCCTTTCTGTTGAATTCAAAGAACATGAGCTATCACATGACAGTTTCAAGCTCTAAAAGTTTAACTTTCATTTTATTTGGGAACTCATAGCTCAAACTTACTCAGCTTGTAATTTTTCACGGGCTTCGCCGATTTCTTCCAAATGCATAGTATTTTGTCTGATGGATTCTCTTAAATTATTTAATTCATTATCAAAATCAGTTTGAAGTTTTCGGTTCTAAAAAAAAATCAATAATTTGAAGTAGAAACTAATGTAACCGTTCGTACCTTGGTTATTTAGTAGTACATAATTTAAATATTGAAATGATTATCCAACCTGTTCATGCAATTGTTGGATGGTGCGTTCTAGAGTCCAGGTTTGTGAGCGTGCCTGTTCTAGAGCGGCTTCTAATTGCGACGCGCGTTCTGCTCCCATCTTGATTTGACCTTCTGCTCGAGACAACCGGTCCCTTATGAATATTTTCTTACACCTCTCTTCCTTGAGTTCTTTTTCAAGCTCCTGTTCAATTTTTTTAACAATAAAGATGTATTATTTTATTCTTTATTAATTATTATTTTATTATTTATTTATTCTATTACGTACCTATTCTACCACTTTTTAGAATACTTAAAATGAACTCACTTCTACTTTATTTTTATTTGATTGTGAGCGCAGGTGATCAGAATTATGAATTTGTTTTCTTAAATCGGAATTCTGCGAATTAAGATCAGATAACTCGCATGTCAGCTCCTCTGTGCGCAGTTGAAGGGCCACTGAATCGTTCGCTGTTTTTCTGTAAATATTCATTAAAAATCTTCATTGTCTTAAATGTTTAGCACTTTGACGAAAGCAAGCAATTTTTTGTAGGCATACGTACCTTATAAATTCTATTATCTCGTTCAATTCTTTAAGAAAATCTCCTTTAGCTTGTTCTAAAGAGCATTTTAACATTTCATTCTCTGCATTGAATTCATTAATCTTCTTTGATAGTTTGTGCATTCCAATACCCTAAAATAAACTCACAATGATCAGGGTGCTTACTCTTGAAACCAATCTCAATGTCAATGTAATTTCAATCCAATAAAATCTCAATAACTATTCAATGTCAAAACTATACAACCCCTTTCGTAGCTGTTAAAATAGCATTCAGAGTACGGAATATAAAGCCAAACTCAATATCATTTAGTTCATTTAATATCCATGTAATTCGGATGCAATGGGCGTTAATGTTACAACTCAAGAGTACGAAATTTCACAATACCAATGTCGACAGATCGGAATTGGATTCAAGAGTAAGCACCCAGACTTCAACTCTGCAAGATTCTACAATTAGTCATAAGTAATAAGCATAAGCATTTATTATGTAAGTTTAAAATCCTTGTACCTTATCCTCCGTTTTCAAAGTTTCAAACCAATCTATAATCTCCTTTCTCTTGAACAAGGTTTGTTCACAAGTTGCAACTAATTTAGATGGCATGCCATACAACTTGTTTAAGTCCACGGTCAGCGGTGCTTTTGTTGATGATTGACTACCTGAATCAAGATCACATAACAGTCAAATTTATATCGTAAAGTTAAAGGATTATACGTACAAACGATAAAAATTACTTATAGTAGTTACCTTACCTTTAACAATCCTACCTGCCTGTGGAACAGAACAGAGATGCAACAGCTGTTCTGCTGTCAACTTGGCGACGTTCATTATGCGCAAGTCGTCTGCAGGTGGCAGGGTCACCTTATGTCCTAGTCCTTTCATCTTCTGGTGGGTATTTCGCATCAGTGCATAAAGCTCCATAATTGCTTTCTGTGGTTATAAACCATATTTACTTTTTCTTGATAAATGTTAGGAAAGATACCAATAAATTCTATAGATAATTTTCTATAAAAGCATACCTGACGATCCCTTAGATCAGATTTCATCTTTTCAAACTGCACTATATTCTCCTGCCAATTTACTTTAAGTTTAACCACTTTATCGCTGCGTGAACATAATGATTCTGAGAAAAAATAACAGCGATAGAATACATTTTCTGTAAACAATGACATTTGTTTTAAAACTACAAATAAATTATACCTTTGTCAGTTATTGTCGGCCCGTCCAAATCGTCCAAATCTTCACACCTTTCCTGTTTTTCTATTGTTTCCTGAAAATGAAACATAACAAGCCATTTGCATAGTACTATATATCAATGTAGGTAATTTGAAAAGTAACTATGATTGTGTGTTTGTATTAATTGCACACACTGATCTTCGAAACTAACGAACGTATTATAATGATTTTTTTTAGTTAATAAGCCTGGGCATAATATAGGTTAGGTATAATTTGTTTTGTAACTTTGAATAAAAGAAATCTGCCTGAAGTATATATATTGTGTGGACAAAATTACAGGTGGAAGCTAGTCTAATAAATTAAAGCTTAATATTATGTTACGGGTGATCTCATTACTTTACCTGATCTGGTAAGTCATTCTGCATGTTTTTAAATTGATTTCTCTGCAAAAGACAGAATATTTTAATTAGGTTTGTTCTGGCATTAGAAAAACTATTGGAGTTTCTAGGTTGAGAAAATTTCAATCAGATGTCTGACAAATTCATGTAAGTTGAAATTTATGTTTCTTGAACATACATTTCAAAAACAACAATTTAGATAGAGAACATATATTTAGATGAGTTGTTCTCCAAGTTGATTTGGTCCCCAAATGAGATCAGATCAGGACAAGTATATCTGAGTTCAAAATCATAATTATAATCATTTTGAACTCGTGTCAAACAAAGTTTTGATTTGGCTTTTAAATAATTTGCCCCCTTATTTCATGGGACCTGGGATGAATATAATATACCATATATTTATCCTGGTGTCGCGTCGCATCATCTTTCCGCACATTTAACGTTCAGTTTATACTGGTTATGTAAAGCTCGATGTGTAGCCGTGTGTATAATGTACCCTTCTAGCACTAAAGGCTTAATATTTACCTGTGGGTTAGAGGCAGGGACAGTTATAATTGGCCTCGCCGATGACTTTTGAACGTGATCCATAATTTTTTTTGGTATTGTGGATGGCCTCTGAAATAATATACACTCTTATATATTATTTTATATTTTTATATTAGATGGGACTGACGTTTGACCACTATCTCGCCTGGTGGTAAGCGATGATGTGGCCTACAATGGAGCACGTCGATCCATAAGCAACTTATTCACTCGGACCTTGAAGACACCCAGGTAATACCCAGGAAATACAGACTCTGGCAAAGAATTCCACTCCTTAGCAGTACGCACAAGGAAGCTTGATGCGAAGCGCTTCGTGTGTTTGCGTGAGACATTTACCATAAATCGGTGACGCTTCGCCGATTGTCTTGTGGTACGATGATACTTTTATATTCTTTTCTAATTATCACAACAAAAATTAACCGATTTTGGTTAGGAATTGCTTATTTATCCATTCCATTACTTCATTCCATTTACTACTTCCGCGTTGGGTGAGGCGACAGGAAGTGTCAGACTCTTACTGACTAAATACTATGCCGATCCTATTCCTGCGTCCAGCCGGAACCCCGATAGCCGGTTAAATATCGCGTAGTAATAAGGACCGACGAAAAAATTTCAAATCCCCACTTCCCACTTACTCCATTTCAGTAATTTCCGTAGACATGCTTGTCTTGGCCTTTTTTGGCGATCCCTCCATCATCGATCTTATAATTAACGAAGAGATAGAATCTACATCTACACCTAACTATCTTAGGTATAATATTTATTAATTACGAAGATTTACCTTCAATTGGATTATTCTTTGAGGTAGAGAAAATCGTTCCTGTCTGGCAGAACGCGACGCTGGGTGCGTGTTCCGTCCTATGCCCAAATCATCTTTCATACGATTCGCCGACTTTGGTCTTGACTGTCGACAAAATATACGTATTATCATAGTTGTGTTTCGTCGTGTGAGTGTGGTTACCGGAGGCCCAATTACCCGCCCCTTCCCCAATCTCCCCAATCCCTGAATCCCCAACGATCCTCAAACTCCTAATCCCCAAAAAGCCGGTAACGCCTCTGGTGTTCCAGGTGTCCATGGGCGACGCCGATTGCTTACCATCAGGTGATCCGTCTGCTCGTTTACCGGCTAATGCCATAAAAAAAAGTTGGAATAAAACTAAATTCCTATTGGAAATGCAGTTAAAATATCTAAATTACTGTTTTCAAAATGTACGATAAAATATTGCAAGCTGACCTCATCAGAGCGCGGCCGCGCAGCGTTTTTTGCCGGAAACCGGGGCTGTGGAGTAGTTGTCGGTTCATATTTCGGTCTCTGAAACAAATAGTATAAATTATATAAAACTAACTCCTATCTTTTGTCTGTCTAGTCTGCCTAAATGTTAAATTATTTGTTTCTTTGCTTAGCATTTCAGAAGTTAGCTTTTAGGCATAACTGGCCGTGAGGGTTGATTTCAGGATAAAGGTCTTGCTCAGTAGTAGTACATCATAGGCTACAATATTGGTACCGTACATACCGTAATATCTGTTATAGGTTTGGCTCTATTAGGTTGAGTCCTTAACCGTCCAGCAGGCAACCTCTGGGGTATTCGACACCGGATTGCTCCTTTTGTCGATTCTACCGCATCTAGAAGAAAATAGAAGTATCAATTGTTGAATTGGCAATACAACATTAATTTTTGAGATAGAAATGAAATGCTTTGCCTCGAAATGTGACTGCCTCGTTAGCCGAGTGGTCGCAAGTGCGACTACCGACTTGGGCAAAGCATTAATGGGTTATAAAAAAAAAACTCGGTAGTAGCACGGAGTCTGGTATTGTGCCCGGTATATGGCAATAGGCTTACCCCCTATTACATGGGATTAATATCATAAATAGTGAAAAGTAGGTGTTACATTGTACAGTGGCACCGAGTGCCGTAATATTATCAGGTGATCTATCTGCTCGTTTGCCTCCTATTCCATAAAAAAGTGCACTTCTGCTTACCGCTTCGGGGATAAAAGGCGTGATATTATGTAGAAATGAAATGTTCTCTAAATATTTGTATTTTTAAGAGGAATACCTATTACTCATAATCATACCATCAACATGACCTAAAATACCAAAACAATAATTCTATTTTTGGAGGCACGCCCTGTAACTTAACAACTAGCCTAAAATTTGAGATAGACACATAATATGTACATTCAGTGACCTCAATCTCCACGCTACTGTGGGGTCTTTTTGTCAACTTCCTTGACTTGGATTCATGAATGTCATCACATACCTTGCCTTGGTTCACTGGTCACTAATAGTGACATGATTCATTGCCTGACTTACAATTTTTACCAGGAACGCACTTTTGTACGTGTTGTAAATAAATAATTATAACAAAATTACAAAAAATTTATATCACATGCGTTCCAAAAGTAAATGACTTTAGTTTTCATTTTGTGTAAGAAAGTTTTGGAAGAAGAAATTATGGCAGGCCTTCCAGCCAGCTGTGTCTACCGTCTGTTAAATGTTCTCTCTTCAAATAGTTCATAATAGTTACAAGTATTAATCAAACCAAAAAGTTTAACAATGACACGAATATTTTTTTTATTCCCAACGGCCATTAAACATTTGCATCTGTCCAATTTTAAATTTCGAACCCCCGTCCATCATCACCGATCACGAAAATAGTTTAACAAAATATCAAAATTCCAAAGGTTTTCTTTTACATTTTCTAAGAACCATTTTACAGCTGTAGAGTATATTATGACGACTGCGGCGAAATCGCAAAAGGATAAGCCTTGTAAGTATTTATATTTCATGTTGATTCGTTGACCATTAGAATGAACTCCACTTCGAAGGCTGGGTGAGGTTCAGAGATAATTTTATAAAAAGTTATCTGAGTGTCTAAAGATTATTAACTCGTGTCAATAAATTACACACATTTACCACCACACCCACACTTAGGTAGACTGGCACCTGGCACCTGTTCTTGTAAGTGAATACAATTATAACACGTATGTATCAGAATCAGTACAGTACTGCAGCGCAGCTCTAAATTGTGTAACCAAATGAGTTAATTTGACAGTTGGGAACACTCCTCGATTAATGCCGAGGCCTACAGCTGCCTCCGCCGCGCGCGCTGCTCGTAATGCCACCAATAGAAATCTGTCGTTGCCCACTCAAAGGCAATCTCCAACACGAAATCCTAATTGTACTAAGGTAACATTTTTTCTAATAATAATATACTTACTATTGGAGAATGATTTTCTCTTTAACAATTTTAATAATTGCAGGGAAGGACTCCCCTTATCCAACGTGCCCTAAAATGTGATTCCAGAACGGATGTCAAGGTAAAGACAAGAGAATATTATTATTTATTTGTCTCGTAGGTAACTACGTACTCACAAATATACGTATTTTTTTTTTTGTTAACAGACTAATGGAGTCTTAGATTGCGAACCATTGGAGAATCAGAATGTTACTGTAAGTGGTATATCTTCCGCGACGTAGGCAGTATTATTAATATAGCATTATTCACGTTATCTTATTCCCGTTGAAAGTACTTTTGGTAATAACTAAAACTTGAAGTGAGTTTAATTTCCGATTTGTACTCAGATTCCACCACCGGTAGAAGTTGAGCCATCCTATATTATCGAGAACACACCGATAATGATAATAGAAGAAAGTTCAGAAGACCAGACAGTCTACGACGGTAGTGTCGTCAACCTCCAAGACATCAATGAAAACTGCCCCTTGGGTAAGTTTTGTGAATATATACCTAGAATTTTGTAGTATTTGCATCTAATTTACAAATAATACAATATAGTCACAATTTTGGTTAATTTACTTTCCAGAAATAAAAAATAATGATGGCAATCCTCATGATGTACAGCAACAAAGAATGGATGACTCTAACGAATCACAACTCAGTCTTAGTCGCAAAAACGGTAGGTTTAATAATGATCTATTATATCTTTTACGTAGGTATTTACAGCAGAGTTGCTAAAAAAACATTTTTATAGTCCTTCCAGAATCTAGAAGTCGACCCCATACACCGGCATTGAACAATCGTCCTCAGACTCCTAGAAGCTTACAATCCAGTCGTCCACAAACTCCGCGCATGCCCAGCCGACCCACGACACCAGCACACCCGGTGCAACGTCTCTGCACTTCTACCAGTCGCCCCAATACGCCGCAGCGTCTTCCCACGCCAACACGCCCTAAAACACCATCTCTGAATGTCCCACCAAGTTCTAGGGTACTATCCCCGGCATCCATGTGCAGCCCGTCACGTACCTTCAAAGAAGACGACGATATAAAGTCGGCGTTCCTCGCGAAACAGAGGCAATTCCATCGCATGAAAAAAGAACTGGACATAAAACAGGTTTACTAAATCCACCTTTACTATTTTACAACAATATTTTTTGTTGTACCATAATAATTAATTATATTATTCAATAATTATCCAAGATATTTTTAACTTTACTTTTCTAAAGTTTTTACTTTACTATTTCCAGCAAGCAGTTCTTGAACTCTTAGTCAATTTACGTGGATTACAAGAGCGCATGACACAAGAGGGTGTCTCAGGATGTGGCGAGGGGCTCCAGCTACAGGAGCTAAATGTGTTTAATGTAGCGAATTGGACGTCAGATGAAATTGCCCAGCTGTGTCATGACGCTATTGCTTCGGCTACCACCGATAGGGCCGTCGAAGTAATTAATACCACTCTACCTATTGGTAAGGTTTGATGTGATTTAATACTTCTTAGAATATCATCTTTCATTAAACTGCATAACACAATTTGAAACATAGTAGATCAGTGATATACTAACACAATACATGTTCGCTCTACTTTACTTAATATTTGTTCTGTACAGATGAATGCGCTCTTGCCGAACTTGATTCTAATGTTACGAACGTGCCTACATGTTTTGCCGATCTGTGCCTTCAGGCGTTTACGGCGCGACAAGAAATCATTGACTGGGTCAAGGAGCTCATCGAAACAAGCGTACGTTTAATTTTTTCTAATTAAATTTTCATAAATACTTTTACAGTAGTAAAATACAGACTTTCATAGCTCTTTTTATTCACTTAGGAGAGTGGTAATGATGAAGTATTGCAACGCATTGCTCGTTACAATGCTCAAGGACTTGAACTCTGCGAGTCTCTCCGTGACCTGAAATCCCGTGCTGATGACGCTGTTAACACTGTCTCGAATCTGTCTAAGTACTACATTTTTGTTACTTTTCGTCGGTAATTAATTGGCTTTATACACTTCCGGACACTTGAATCGAGCCACATTACATTCCCGGGCCTAAAAGCCCATTACACAAAATATATGCAATATAACAAAAAAGTTTTTATGCATTTTTAATGCTGGCATATTTCATCGTCTTTCCCGTATGTATTCTTCCAAATTTGAATTTAAGATTTTAAAATAATGAATAAAAGCCGAGCTTGGTCACTGATTTGAAAAAAATAATGGCTGTAGAAAGTTACTTTTGAAGTAAAAGTAAAGTCGATTTTGTTTGAATTTTCGCTATTTTTGTTACCCAAAGTTTAGTTTAGTTTTTTTTTCTTTAATTGAATCGCTTTTGGCTATAAAATTATGGATACTTCACCTGAAGTAGCCGCGCAAGCTGTAGCATTTCTTCAATCTGGGCTAAGTCAGCGAGATGTGAGTTCACAACTTCTCATAAGTCGTTCCGCTGTCCAAAGAGGTACACTCTCATCGATACCTGGAGACTGGCGGCTTCGTTCGGCGAACAGGAGGACCTCGTTACCGGGTGACAGCGGCGAGACAAGATCAATACATTGTCACTACCAGCTTACGCAATCGATGCCTTACCTCTGTTCAAATACAAGAACAGCTCAGGGACTTTCACGGAGTGGCTGTAAGTGCTCGGACCGTTAGAAGGCGACTCAAGGAACGTGGTTTAAAGCCCCATAAGCCAGGCAATGGACCCAAATTGACACGAGCACACCGAATAGCCCGTTAAGAGTTTGCGCGCGAACATCTAAATTGGACTCGACATCAATAGAGCCAGGTTCTCTTCACAGATGAGTCCAAGATAATGCTATACGGTAATGACGGAAGGAGTAAGGTGTACCGAAGAGAGAACGAGCGTTTCGCGCAATGTTGTATTGACGAAAGAGTGAGTTATGGTGGAGGATCATGGACTGTCTGGGGAGGAATCTCTATGGAAGGCAAAACTGAGCTAGAGGTAGTAACGGGACCACGACTGCCGCCCCTAGATGGCAATAGATACATTCGCCAATGTTAAGAGAACCACGTGATGCCATATGCTGGATTTATTTGCCAAGATTTCGTTTTAATGCATGATAATGCAAGGGCCCATACTGCGGGAATCGTCAGGCAGTACTTAACTCGTCGAGTACCGGTTTTATAGACACAATTAAAGAACAATAGGTCGCGGTCACCGGTGACCGCTTGGTGTTTGACAGTTTAAATGACATTGGTATCACTGTTATGAGATGGCCAGCGCGAAGTCCTGATATGAATCCTATAGAGCATCTATGGGATGAGCTGAAGAGGCGTGTTCGAGCTCATCATCCTGCCCCGCAAACCACGGAGGAGCTCAAAAATGTAATTTTGGGAGAATGGGAGGACATTCCTCAACATGTCATAACGACATTGATTAATTCTATGCCAAACCGTATGAGAGCTGTCATAAATGCACGGGGAGGCAATACAAGTTACTAAATAAACATTTATTTTCATTTAAAACATTGTTTTATTTAAAAATTGATTAGATTTTTTTCTTTGAAAAAAGCAAATATGGACTTGTTTCAACGTAACTCGACGTTTTAAATAAACTGTAGTTCAAATTTAGAACAGTGGCACTCTAAATGAATGTTGATTAAACCATTTCCAAAACTGCATCAAAACATTTTCCTTCTACATAGATTTTTTACAAGTTACAGTTCTCTAAATCAAAAAAAACAAGGTAGCTCGATTCAAGTGTCCGGAAGTGTATTATTGTGTACCTATGTTATTAAGTTATTACCTGTGTTTTGTAGAAAAGCCTGTCGAGAACGTAGTGCTTTGGTAGCTGTTGGAGAATCTTTAGTAAGAGAAATAGCACGACTTCGACAAGACCTGGAAACACGTACTGCCGCTATAATCGAATTGCAGGAAGCTACCCGTAATGAAGCTGACCGCAACAATTCTGTTGAGGTTAGTTCAATACCTTCTGTACCGACTCAAATTGTATTAGAAACGGTTAACAAATCAATATAACTTGCTAATAGGAAATGCGTCGAGAGTTAGAGGAGGAAAAAGCTGCAAAGATAGCTACCAAAGAGAAGTTGGCGGCCACTGAAGTGCAAGTCCGTCAAGCTCGCATTCGTATCTCTAAAATGGACAGGCAACTACGCGAGGCAGAAGCAAGCATTGCTAGTCTCACAGGCACTGTAAAAACATTGGAGGATCAGGTAAATTTCCGTCAATTGGTTATTATCGCTAGCAATTATTTAATAAATGTTTTTTATTAGAATTTACAAAGTATTTGGTCTATAGTTCTGTCACTGTGTATATTCACTATCTGTCATATTCAGAGTCGTCAAAGGGAAGTGCAATTAGAAGCTCGTGCTAGGAAATTAAAAGAATCATTAAAAACCGGAGAAGTAACCAGCAATCAATTAACGCAACAACGCGACTCTTTGCAAACTGAGTAAGTTTCTTAAGTATTTTGGTTACTTAGAGACGTAGTGGTAAGATCGTATTTTTAAAAATGAACAATAAATATACAGAATTCAAGAATTGAAACAACAAATTGAAGCCTTAACCGCACAAAATAAAACAACTATACATGACTTAACAAATCAACTCAAAGAATTGAAGAATAATTTTGAAGAACAGCGTAAAATTTCACAAAAAGAAATCGAATTGAAGGAAGCAGCTGAAGCTGCCCTCTCAGAGAGTCGCAATAACATAGAGGAGTTGAAAGCCAAAATCACTGAACTCGAAAATAATAGACCAAATCCCGGTAAGTCAATTATTCCCTTAAATATAAGACCAACTTCTGCCAGCGGCTTTGCCCGCGTTCGCGTTCCCAGATAAAAAATATTCCACACTATACAGAATGTAAACGGAACGCTCCCGAAACGCTGACTAAAAGAAATTGATTTTACAATTTTAATTATTTTCGTTTTCTTTTTATTCATGCAACATCAGCCTTGAGCGGTTGATCACAACTATTATTACATAAAATAAACATTTGATTCCTTGCTTTTATGAAAATTAAACTTGTTTTGTACAATCACCTGTGCTGGATTTAGTAGTGTAATATTTTTTCTGATCCGAAAACTTGTAAAATAGTGCGCTAGTACTAAACTGAGGTTGTTCTTTGTATGGTACTTACGTAACTAATGTTTCTGTAAATGCCTTAGTCAAGAATCTTCGTGAAGGCTAAGTTCATAATAATATTTCAGATTTACCAACCGAAAGAGAAATAGATCTTTGGTCAGAACTTCATGCTATAAAAGATATTTTACGTGTGACTGAGGATGAAGTGACTTCCTGTAAAAGGGAGAAAGTGCGATTTCTGGAGACTCTCACTAAAATAACTGTAAATATTTTCTATTATCTCTTTGTGACTTTTGGGTTATCCACCTTGACTTTAATTATTGAAAAACATTGAAGTATTAAAAAAATCATCATTTACAAAAAGAAACTTCTGTTTGGATTTCAAATTGTCTATTAACCTTACTTTAACAATTTGTCGTATTATTTATGGACTTTCTTTTTCAGTCTTTAATACCAGATAATTTTTTCCTCCATCAGTGAGGTGATTACAGTTGTCCTTAAACTTTTAGAATGTTTTGTGAACTTGTATTGAATATCTTGTGGGTTTCAGGAATCTGATAACAAGGTGGGCATGCAACAGAAATTGGCAGCCGAGCTTTTGAGCAAAGAAGAAATATTAGGAAAAATGCAAATACAAATTAGAGATTTAACCAAAAATATTAAATTGAAGTTAGTGCCTTCGATATTAGTGTATGATAATAAATTGATTGAGAGACAAATGTGCCCACAATTAATTGTTTGTAAAACAATATTTTAGTGAACAAAAAGTGATCCAGTACGAACAATATGTAAGAGACCTACAGGCGCATAACCGCGCAGTGGCCAACTGCCAAGAGGCTCCAAATGGTATCAGCTATCAGGACTTACAGCAAGAGGTAATAACAAGTATTTAGCTAAATTATATCAAAGTTAGGTAGGTTTACATTTTTAGTTAATTAGTAACTTGATTGAAATCTTATTCCAATCGCCATCTAAAAGATTTTTATTGAGATTTTTATTAGTTATCCATACTCAGTGTGAACAATCTACAAACACTCAATCCTGCACGGCCCTTAATGCACTTGTACCTTCTTTAGTGTTACAGATATCCATTTGGTGATTCGTCTGTCGGTATGCCATAGAAAGAACAATAAACTTAGATTCAGTACCATTACAGATTATGAACTTAAGAATGGGCCTTCTCGAGGCGGTGCACCGAAATGAAGAGTTGTCAGAGCTGTTGGTGCAAAAGGAACAGCAACTGGAGCAACAGGACAAGACTTCACGTGCCCAGGCAAGAGTCATAAAGGTTACTAGGTTCTTTTTGCAATCACCGTTGATAGAACTTCCAGTAGATTTGAAAGAACTGAAAAATATACCTACGTAAGTACATTATAAGGATAGTTCTTCACACGCATTTAGAAATTAGATTAATATTTATATCATACGTATTTACTTTGATGTTACTATTTGTAAAAAGATAGTTAGATGCATAATTCGTAATAGATCATACGCTTCTAAAAGTAGTGATTTTAATATGTATTGTTCTTTGAGAATTTATTGTTACGTTGATTATGAACTAGTCAGTGACGCAGGTTCGCGAGGAGTTGATCAATATGCTGAAGAACAAAGAAACGGAGCAGAGCCGCGAGCTGGCTGCGTTACAACAGGACCTTGAGCACCGAATGAAAATCGTTGATGAAGTGAGCTCTCGCGGTTTTTTTTTTATAATTTTTCAACTATGATGTAAGACAGATTATTGTAGTAGAAAATAATATTGAAATGATTTATTCATTTAACCCTTTGAGTACCGTCATTATAGACACAATTAAAGAACAATAGGTTGCGGTCACCGGCGTCCTCGCGGTGTTGACAGTTTAATAGGTACTTTTGCACAGAATAATGTACGTAGCTGATATATATACAGTATAAATAATTGTCTTCTAAGTAGTCTGATGTTACAGAGACATGGCAGGGTTACTCATATTTTTAAAATGATTATTACCTTTTGCCTAAACGAGATTGCCGTTATTCTTAACCCTTCAGGTAAACAAGCAAATAGCAGCGAAAGCCGAAGAGATCCAGGAACTATTTGCCACTTTAGAGAACAAGCAACAACAGATTCACCGACTGGAGAAAATAGTGTTGGCACTAGAAGAACAACAACGACGTGCGCAAGCGCAGCGGACGCGACACGAAGAGAAAATTGCCGCGCTCGAACATGAACTTGCTGCCAGTGGAAATCGACGAGAACGGTCAGAACTGCAATTTTTTTTATCTCCTTAGAATTTCTGGACTTATCGAGTGTCCTAAAACTGGGACCAGCCACCGAGGGACATGCAGCACCATCCTTTAATTTTTCAGTGCCAACCTCAAGCCGCCAGCCGAGCATGGGGATAATGGCAAATCCCAGCAATCTCCTGCCCTCCAAGGGGGAGGTTTTGGTTCAGTAAGGGACGTCTTTCGACTGATGATGACGATAATGATGATCTACTTGCTGCAAAAATATTAATGATGCATTAATGAGGAAATGTATTGTAATTTTTGTTTTTTTTTGTCATATTTCTGTGGTTATGTTGCATTTTTAAGTCAATCCAATCACTCATTTCTGCCTTCATGGTCAGATTTAAGTACCTACTCTTACTAAAGACGCTCGAGAATAGAGCTATATTGTAAGACGACCGTGACTCAATAATAGGGTAGTTTCCTACATTTTATTTTAATGTCCGTCTGGTACATTCATTTAAAACTTTAGACAAGTATTTTTTTCTTTTCTCACAAAATCAAATACTTTCGACGATATATTAATTTACAATATCGTGTGACGTCACAGCGTGTTACATTTTGTAGCACGTTATGCCGTAACGACTAACTCCTAAACTTGGCGCCATTTTATCTAAGTATTGCAACTTAATACGAGAAAATAAAAAATGTGTCTAATATTTTTCCATTATCTAACTGGCGTACTAATTAGATTTTTATTTTTGATACCCTGAAAACTACGCAATAGCCCCTCTATTTTATCCAAGGGTTCGTTGACCACACAACTATTTCATCCACCTGACCCTGCATAGAACAAAGTATAATGCGACCTGACCACGGAACAACAACGGTAAAATGGGGTGATTAGGGATCGAGAGGTGAGGATAGAAGAATCGTAAATCGATACTACGAGGAATTTTCCAATATCTATTCACCCCTCTTCTGTCTCTATTCTCTTCTCGATCCCTATCTATCCAATTTTACGTTAGTATATTTTATATTCATTTTTACTTCCGATAAATACTAAGTGGCACCTTTATTTTTTATTTACTTTTGACAGTCGTAACGCCCGAATACTGAAAGGCTACTCAATTTTAAGTTGTACTTTTACATTGAGTGACGTTTGAGTATTTCAACGTAAGGACCGATTTTTCAATCATCAGCTAGTTCTTAAATGTAAGTAGAATAAAATTGACAGTTGACAGTTTTTAGCATGGAAGAATTATTGAAAGTTATTCCTCAGTAAAAATTTATCTGAGCTTTGAAAAGTTGGCGCTTAGTATTATAGTTTGAGAAGATAGAGGTATAGACTTTGGAGCTAGCGCAGACATACAATCCTATCTATATGAAACGTTTATTTTCAGAAGGTGGTTTTTCTAACTCTCATGAAGTGTACTCGGAAAGGTGCCGGACACAGAAAATTTTTAAGTGCCTCTATTGGTGAAAATTGTGAATGTCAGTTGTTGTGGAAAGTTTTGTTGATTCGATTTTTGCGAATAAATTGTTATTTTTATAACGTTTTATTGCGTTTTATTTATTTTTATCTGGAGGATGTGACAACGGTTTGTTTTTTTATTTATTTTTTTCGCCCCACGCTAAGCTTCTCTCCTGTGTCGTGGGTGCGTTTACAAACATACAAATTCACATACACATGACATCCAGACCCGAAACAACAATTTTTGGATCATACAAAGAGTTGCTCCGTGCGAGAATCAAACCCGCGTTGTGCGGCAACCGGTTGCTCAGCCACTGCGCCAACGTGCAGTCATCATCATCATCATCAACAACAGCCGGAAGACGTTCACTGCTGGACAAAGACCTCCCCCTTAATCTTCCACGTTGAACGACAACTCGCCACCTGCATCCACTGGCTCCCCGCAACTCTAACGATGTCGTCGGTCCACCTAGCGGGAGGCCCGCCCACGCTTCGTTTTCCGGTCCGTGGTCTCCACTCAAGGACTTTCCTGGCCCATCTGCCGTCAGTCCTTCGAGCGACGTGGCGTGCCCATTACCACTTCAGTCTACAGATTTTGCGAGCTATGTCGGTAACTCTAGTTCTTTGGAAAATTTGCATATTTCGGATTTTGTCGCGCAAAGAAACCCCGAGCATAGCTCTCTCCATCCCACGTTGAACGACTTTGAGCTTCTCCAGAAGGCCAGAGGTCAGGGACCACGTCTAGGTACCATATGTCATCACCGGCAACACACACTGGTTGAACATCCTAGTCTTCAGGCACTGAGGGATTTCCGATGAGAAGATTTCGCGTAACTTCCCGAACGCTGCCCATCCGAGTTGGATTCTTCGGGCGACCTCTTTGTCGAAATTGGACCTACCTAGCTGGATAATCTGCCCTAAGTATGTATAATGGTCTACACCTTCGAAGATATCGTTCCCATCGATGACCGGGTACAGGTGCAACATGGATGTTTGACATGATTTACCGTGCAGTCCAATGTATGCAACTATGTAATATACGTATGTGTTACCAATATCCTCTTTTTGAGAATTGTCGTTTTTTTGGTAGAGTGAAAAAAGTCGTCAGGATCTGGTGATAGATATGGAATCCCAGGGAAATTAAAGGCAATCTTTAGGTCCGTCGTAGGTAGGTCCTACCTATTTATAATGTTTTTAATTTCTAAGTATGAATTCATTATATTTTATTTGTATCCCATGATCCAGTTCTTCTTGGTCTATATGGGGAAATATGTATAATCTGGCTGGTACTTATAACCTAAAGCCTATAATAATATATATGTGTGACATACATATTAAATATTACATAAATGACTCATACAACTGCAAATAAAATGTAAAAAACCGTAACGAAATCGAAACACAATTTTGAGTGATTCAAGGACAAATGTAGATAAACGAGTTGGGTAAACAAACTTCCATTTTTGTGTCAGAGTTGAGATATTTCAATAGGTAGGTACTTGATAAAAATAACAATGGATATGAGATACATATTATTTTAATACTTTGATAATTATATCGTACCGAAAATCCCCTAAATTTGTTCATATAGTAGTCTTTAAACATCGGAAAATAAGAGGTCTATGTATAATGGAGTTAGTGGAGAGCGTGAACTTTGGTGTTCCAGGTGTCCATGGGCGACGCCGATTGCTTACCATCAGGTGATCCGTCTGCTCGTTTACCGGCTTAAGCCATAAAAAATAGCGGTTACCGGTGACCGCTTGGGTATTGAACAGGGAGCATATTCCATTGTGTGTGAAACATTTTTTATTTTATTATTACCTTTCTGGTAACGGGTTCGTCCGTGTTCCCGTGAGTAAAAATAGCCTGTGTGATTCTAGACCTTACTTAACCCCTGTTCAAAGTCAAAGTCGAAATCATTTATTTTAATTAGACCAGAAAATCACTTTTGAATGTCAACAAAAAGTTTAAAAGAGAAACCATGTGCTCATACCTTGGATTCCTATGGAGAAAAATGAGCAAGAAACTCCATAGGTTACTAACATGTCGTGTTCCAAATTTCATCCCAATCGCTTCAGCCGTTCTGATGTGATTGATTAACAAACATTCACACAACCTCGCATATAAACTCACAAACTTTTAAACAAAAGGAAACAAAAATTATACCTTTATTTTAGGCGTCAAAATCCACGTTTAATGGCAATGCTTAATTTCTGTCTGAAGAAATAGCCAGCCTCTGGTCACATGTAGAGTCGATTAGCGTACGGGCGATAAAGACAGAGTGTGCACTGGGACCCCATGGCCCAAATCTTTCGACCGCAAACGGCTCAAAACAGTAGTTACCCACTAAATTTGAATATTTACGCCGTTTGAGAGCCTCTGCCGCGGAAGCGGCCCCTCCAGCGCATGCAGCGGTACTTAGAAGATGTGATGGCGCAAGAGTCGTCGTCTTACACGTCGCGTCCCACACCAAAGGTCTACCCATCTTCCAAGACAGCAACGACATACCATCTAGTGTCTTGCCGTCATCACGTACTAAACCATTAGGTCCTAATATGGCTGGTACACCGGCTGAGGCAAGAGCACAACGAATGATGTCGTTGATGCTGGCATGGCGAGCTATGCGGCCTGCACTTCTGCAACAAGAAAGACCATGGTGTCCCAAGCCATCGACTCTTTCTCCACAGTGACAATAATGCGGAGAAACACAAGGATTACCTAAACCTAATAATAGATATATGTATTAATAAAAATGATTTTATTGGCATTAAGGCAACTGTATTTACAAAAGTAAATCGTGCCCACTGAGCATTCTTCTTAAATTGTAAGAAACCTAACCATAATAAGGATAAACTTTGGATAAACAATAATTTATCCAGATATTTGCCAGTTTCCCCAGAAGAAAAAGAGAAAAAAAAAACAAATACCTATATAAGTAATCTACCGAGGTAAACTTTACCGAGGTGCAGAATAAATAGAGCAACTTTCACATAGATAAGTAAATAGGTAGAGAAGTTAGTAGGTAAGGTAGACCTACAACAATTAAATTCCCTTGTTGCTTAGTTCTGGTGCATCGACGTCTTATTAGGGTAAGACGTCTGAATGTATATTGTCGTTTGTTCGACATAGTAGTAAATTATGAAATTTAAGTGTTAATAGGGGAACGTAAGGGGGAAACATTTCAAGGGAACAAACGAATAAGGGAAAGATAAAGATCAATCAAAGAACAATCTTTAGATAAGATTGTAAATATTCCCAGATAACCTCACTCTTCAACACTCTACCATAGACAAATGAAACAACAAGAACAAAGGCAACGTAAAACGATATAAGCAAGGCATTTCTTATCTTTAAAAATAACATTTGAATGTATCAACACATTTTAATTTATTCGAAGTGAACAATATTTGGTTCTGTTTTTAAACAATCGTCAATGCAGGCTGATAATGATAATGTTTTTATATACTGGCAACAATGTTAGTGCAAAATTGTCTATGGTTGGTGATTTCTTCTTGAGTACTATAATGTACTTACGGCTTTTTAGGTCTTAGTACGTGAATCCTGTTTTGCACTTTGGCTGCAGTAGTGGCACGTCCGTTGTGCTGGAACGACCTGAGAGTCGAATTGTAAAGTCGTGCATTTCTATAAATAGATTAAAGAAGTGTACAAAGCATGTGAGTACTTAATATATTTATTTTCTTAAATTGTTTATGTTAAAATACTTTAAATTAATATTATATAAATCAAATTGTAAGATAATGTATTAGAACATAATTATAACGCCCAACAATTTTGCATCGATTCGCCATCCTTGTCGCACGATCTCTTTGTGACTTGTAAAGAGATTCGGCGCGTGCGCAGCCTGGTTTGTTTTGTGCCGGCTCTGTAATTAGAAACTACGTAATATAAATTTATCAAAACACTAGCCTCTCATTCTACGTGTAAATGGCTGAAAGCAAGTATTACCTAGAGGCTAAATTATGCTACAAATGAGAATTTTCCAATAAATAAAATAATTACGATTAAATGTATACGTAATTTCTTGTGAAACGTATCATTCTTATAATTTTTTGTCATTAACTCGTCGAGTACCGGTTTTATAGACACAATTAAAGAACAATAGGTCGCGGTCACCGGTGACCGCTTGGTGTTTGACAGTTTAATAAAATCAGTTATCTAAAGTAGGTAGGCTAAGATACGATAGGCAATAATTACTGAGACTGATAACATCAAGATCTACAATAAACGTCCATGCACACGATGCCGCCGCCGCGCCGCCGCCGCGCCGCCGCCGCGCCGCCGCGCGCCGCCGCGCCGCCGCCACACCGCCGCCCGCCACACTTGTCCTGTTTAATTTACAGTATTACCGGACGGGACCATACGCAGCGACAGCGCGGCCGCGGCGCAGTAGCGGCACAGTGTGTGAATTCAAATATTTTATTAGATCTTCAATTTTTTATTTATCTACCGGCCGATCTAGAAGTCATTGGGGAGACCTATATGTTCGCATATGTTCTGTGGTTCGACCTATGTTTGAACATTGGACGACTCGTGGCTGATATGTATGATGAGTTGATGACTGATATTTTAATTTTAACAGACCCTTTACTTCGTATAGGTATATAGTACCTATTGTAATTTACTCTCAGTTTTTACCGACTTCAAAAAAAGGAGGAGGTACTATGTTCGGCTGATTGTTTTTTTTTTTTTTTTTGTTTGTTCGCGCAGTACTCCGCCGTTTGTGGACCGATTTCGAAAATTTTTGTTTCGTTTGAAAGGGTATACTCCCGAGATGGTCCCATTTCCATGAAGTCAGGATCTGATGATGGGATCCTAGGGAAACCGAGGGGAACTTTCGAAAATTCTATGGGGGAGTAATGCGTCTATTATGTTTTTCAATTACGAATTTTAAACACTACAATTTAATAAGGGTCTGGAGTCGACTTGATGATGGAGCCGACAGACAGTCGAGGGTGGTTTATATTAACTACCTTGTGTTTGGGCTTAATTAATTTGTATTGATGAGGACTTTACACCTAGATAGAGTGGGGCTGTCATTAAGGGTCTGATGATGAAGAAGTGTAATTGTTAAGGGAACTCCTCAACGGTATACAGTAACTACCTTGAGTTTGGGCTTGATTAATTTGTATTGATGAGGACTTTACACCTAGATAGAGTGGGGCTGTCATTAAGGGTCTGATGATGAAGAAGTGTAATTGTTAAGGGAACTCCTCAACGGTATACAGTAACTACCTTGAGTTTGGGCTTGATTAATTTGTATTGATGAGGACTTTGCACCTATGTATATTATAAGTAACAAAAACGGGTATATGTAGCTTTACACTGAAAATGGTAAAATAATAAAATAAAAACTGCGTTTAAAAAACCGACTTCAAAAACCAAAAACTAATAACGAACAAAAAGTCAATACTAAAAAGCAAAAAATAACTATTATTAGTACTGATAGGTTACCCACCCACTGATAGGTTAGAAGTCGGTGCCATAAGCTCATATCATAATGATATAACTTAATGTCCACAAAATTGTGAATTAGATACCTATTAAGGTTTTAATGAATAATTTTGTATGGAACTTATGGCACCGACTTCTTACCTATCAGTGGGTGGGTAACCTATCAGTACTAATAATAGTTATTTTTTGCTTTTTAGTATTGACTTTTTGTTCGTTATTAGTTTTTGGTTTTTTAAGTCGGTTTTTTAAACGCAGTTTTTATAACGAATTACCATTTGTAGATTTGTTTACTAGAGATGGAGTTTCAACATAAATGTATCAAAATTCGGACTGTGAGTATCCTCAGTCTATCTTTAGTCTTATAATATAAACAAATAAAAAATAGATAGATTGAGCCTGGCCGTAAAAAATAAAATTATTTATTTAACTCGTCGAGTACCGGTTTTATATACACAATTAAAGAACAATAGGTCGCGGTCACCGGTGACCGCTTGGTATTTGACAGTTTAAGAACACTGAAACTGACTTATCTTTAGTTCTATAGGTACTTAATAATTATTTAATTAGGTTTTTAAAATTGGTATGAATTTAAGCACTAGAATTTCATTTTAGTACTAGAATACAGGTTTAACTTAATTTAAACGCAACATTCTGTTGAACTACTTGTTTTAATCCAGGTAATTTTATTATTTTAGTTAAAATGACAGCGTTAACTTCAGACAAACGTCTTGAGTTGAGTGCAGTCGAATTACAGCAGGAGTATTATGAAACGATCGGTGATGCTGACTGGGAACTGTAAGTATGAATATCTTACAATAACGCTAGAAGCTTATGTGGTTGATTAACAAGCGCAAATACACATTACACTGAGACCTATAATAACAATCTAATAGTTAACAAATCATTTTTATTAATGTGGCAATCAATTCTTAACCAGTCGCCCATTTGCGACAACCAACGCCTTGACGTGAAGCAATGCTTGCGTTGTGTTTCGTCGTGTGAGTGAGGTTACCGGAGGCCCAATTACCCTCCCCTTCTCCAATCTCCCCAATCCCTGAATCCCCAACGATCCTCAAACTCCTAATCCCCAAAAGGCCGGTAACGCACTTGTAACGCCTCTAGTGTTCCAGGTGTCCATGGGCGACCCCGATTGCTTACTATCAGGTGATCCGTCTGCTCGTTTACCGGCTTATACCATAAAAAAAACCATCTATCTATCCGACTGACTCGCCTCACTAGTACCAAATTAATCCAGGATGGTTTTATCTCAGCTATGTATTCGATCGTTAGTGGCCAATATTAAGTCCGATGCTGCATCATTGATACAAGCTTTAAAATAATTGGATTGTAAATTCTGTATATCTATATTGGTGAATAGTTATGAAGTTTGGGATTACATATACTTATACAGTTAGGTGAGGTTAGGTTAGTATACCCTTTTTATAAACTGGTCTTGTTTACCGAGTTGTATCTGTGGTTGCGGCTACTGGATTATAATAATATTAATTATGTAGTAATACTTATTAATAAAACCCTCCATCACTTTTTTGTTATTCCCTACCTACCTACTGTTGAATCATGGCTATATCTCTTTGGAATAATAATATTATGTTTACAAGTTTATAAATTAATTATCTTGAGGAAAATAAAGTTCTCTAAACTATTCCAAGCAAGTAGTATCCACTGAATGAGTTAAAAATAATTCTGAAAAATTACTAAAGTAAGTGTTTTAACCTTGATTTCATTGCGGGTGATCTGTTGCTGTTCGTACGGTACAGGTGTAATGTTCACAAATTCAAAAGTTTATGTAGTATGTTCAATTTTAAAGATTCGAGAAGAAAGACAGAAGATATCTTCTCCAGAAAGTAGCAGTTGCTCTTTGCGGACCACCGACGATTGAAGGCAACTTAATGGAATGTACGAATGATAATGATGAACTCAAATTGCAAGGATACGAAGCTCTAGACGAAGATACATGCATGAATGTATTCAATCGGATCTTAGAACAAGGTGATAAGTATATAAAGTTATTTACATAATTATGTATTATAATTTAATCAAATCAAAACAATGATTTTTTTTCTGAACCGAGCACGATTCTAACCACAACATTTCAGTTATGAGTCACTGCTTTATTTTACTTTAGGTTTGTGTAAATATTGATTTTAAGCACATTTTAAGAGTCAAATTGCATAAAGATCTTTTGATTAACGTTCCTTTTTAATTTTCCAGCAAAATATTCACACAATGGTGAAAATATTATAATATCTGTCCTTCGCGTGGTCTGCGTTATACCGAGACGAGAAATAAAATTTTTCGAAATGACACCTAAAGATTATTGGCTCAATCTTCACGTGAAGAAAGGAGATTCTGTTCACATCTTAGTATTTCACGTGTTCAGTATAAGGAAATGCATTTCTATGAATCACAAAGGTAAGTTTTTTTTTGTATTTAATAAAGTCGCTTTAGGTACTACTTACGTGAGAACTAAGAAGGACCTCTAAGAATAAATTATTTTTGTTTGCTTTAATAAATACCTAGCTACTTAAGTTATTTACCAGTCCAGTACCAATTGCTACTATTCGTACTGAAAATGGCGATAGCAATTCCAATAAAAACAACGTCTTAAAATTAAGGTTCCTTTCCCAAATTACAGTAAAAGGATGCAAAGTATTCATTGACCATGACGGCAGAGAGTATCAATCCTGGGACGATTATCTGACAAACAACAAACTTCCGAAATGTGTGATGGTTGTTCCTCGGAACGGAGAATATTCTGGAACTATCGTTGGAGGGGTAAGCTATACCTTTTAATCCGAGTATCATTTTTTTATTCTGTGCAAGTAAGTACCTACATACAACAAAAAAATTGAAATTAGTAATATAAAAATCAAGAAGATATCTTTTTCTTAATACTGTGACACTATGTAATATGACATCATCAAATAATAAAATATTGGTCATCAGGAAGGTGAAATGCCGAAAGTAAACCTTACAATAAGAGGTTCACCGGAACTGGGTACTCAAGCACAAGTGATTAGTGTTGCAGACAATATAAGTGCAGGTATTTCAGAATATCTTGACTATAGGTAATCCTCCAAGGATCTGTCAAAAATCCTAATAACCCGTTTTGGGACATGTATTTCTTTCATTGTAAGGTTACCTTTATTACTTATGTTGTACATATGAACAACTTCTTAGGTTGCAGTAACACTCCACTATATAATACCTATTTATGTTTACATGGAGATGTTCTCTAAATTACGTATTAAACATTTTGAGGACTAGTAAATACTTAATACCTACATTGCTTCCACTTTCCACTATTTTTCATTTTGAAGACCTTCCTTCTATATTTAGATCTTATTTTACGATATTTCCAGCGGCTAATGTTGGGGCGTTGGTCGCTGTGGTGGGATCCTTGTTCGCGGCTCCCGCCGTAGCCCCAGTGATGGTTGGAACAGCTGTAGGAGTTGCCACCGTGTCAGGAGTTTACGGTATCGGAAGGTCGATTGGAACCTTAGTCGACAGAGCTCAGCATAAGCAGGTAAATAATGTATTATCAACACACATTCATATTAGAAGTGAGTTATTTAGATCTCATTACTTCGTCAATGGGGTGATGAAATAAATATCTAGGTACCTACACACGTCCCTAACTTCACTTTATTGCATCTACTAATACATCTTACCGAGCCTTTTTCCGAGTCCTTTCAATGAAGTTCAGTATACATATATCCTTCTTGGGCAACTCCTACCTGCTCAATAGGTTGTTGTGATTTTATGTTTTGTGTTTTTGTTTTAGAGCATCGGCTTAGACAACATGGAAGCTCGCTCTAACTGGATAAATATTATGATATCTACTGTCGGTTTGTCCTTTACTGCAGCTGGAAAATTATTGACTTGGGCTGCGGCGACCGGGAGAAATGTCAAGGTATTAAACAATTTTCAAATTGTACTGACTTAATGACCATATTATAATTATAAGTATATCAGTTTAAAAAGTTAACCTAACTACCTATAGGCATATATTATAATTTTAAGAGTATAAAGGAAACATACAGGGTATCTAGAGGACCAATGGACTTAAAAACTAATTTAGTATGTCTCGTGAAAGTTATAATATGAATTTTTTTTTTTTTTCAGATACTTATGAGTGCCTTAGACTTTCTCAGGTTTACTAACATTGCAACTGGATTCATTGGTGTAGCCAACGGCCTGGGAGATATGATCTATAAGGTATGTAATAAATGTTTTATGTAACATAATATTCAGTATTTTTATTCTACAAAATCAGGTAGCAACTTTGCACACCATGTTTTAGTCATTCCTCACTAAACACTGTAGAAGACTTTTCATTGGAGATATTTATTTACAGTTCACGAGATATGGTAAGACACCCTCGACACTCGAAGTGTTCCAAGTAACTACATCCTTCCTTTTCCTTGGCATTGGTGTGATGTCAAACCAAACTGCACAAGAAATCGTTCAGGACGCACAAGCTAACAAAATAAATGAAATTCGAGATTCGTTGTCAAGCAACAACAAAAGGTAGGCTACCTAATCATCATTTACGTATAAGCTCACCCCCTATTTTATTTGACTCATAACATAAATAGTGGAAAGTAGGTGTTCCATTGTAGAGTGGCATTAAGTGTCGTGATGTGCATATATGCCTACCCTTTCGGGGATAAAAGGCATGATGTTATGTTATGTGCCCATCATTTTTCTTTACCACAAGACAATTCTTATGCCTATTTTAACGAATTCATTTTATGTTCATTTATACAAATTCTTTACAGGAGAATATTTGATAAAATCACAGCCGAGACCCGGCGACTAAAAGGCACTATAGATGGCAACACTGATGTCATTAAAGCTCTTAAGACAATAAATAATAAGGACGAGTTCTTTGGAAAACTGAAGTACATGAATAAGGCTTTCAATAAAAATAAAGTAAGGATATCATTGAGTTCAGATGGGAAAGTGATTATAAATAATCAACACAAAGTGAGTCTCTCCAAGATATACAAAATTGGTCCGGATGGTCGAAATCAATTACTAGCGAAATACGGACCTGCGAAGATAACCAGCAAGAACGCTCCAACAAGAATATACCCTTCGTACGTGGTGGCCAATAACTCAAATGTACCCGCCACAGAGCTGGCATGCACTATCCGCTCAGAAGAGATACTCAAAATTTCTGCATTTCTCTTACATTTGAGTAAATCTGACGAAGAATTTATTTTAAGCTTACTTTCGCTTATATCTGAAGATTTACATCAGGCTTTTTTGTTGCTATGTACTGAAATGGTCACTTCATTAATTCCTGTGGAAATAGAGTTTCTTGAGTCGATTTTCCCTGATTGGAAGAGGCGATTGGTACTCTTCATATTTTGTCATTTGAGGTCAAAAATAACTGTCAATGAAAATGATGGTGTGTTCATGACGGCCTTAAAACGCTACATACGCGATGGTAGAATTGACAGAGAAACCTTATTAGCACTCAAGAAGAAAATTATAGAATATTTTATAGACCACTCGAAAGGAGAACAAACTGACAATAAATCCTGGAGTGAGGTTGATGAATATATGAAGACCTATTTTGGAAATTTGAAAACGTTAAAAGTTGGCCAAGAGCTAGAGATAGGGCCTCATAAAATCTTGGTTAAACAAATCACAGTAGATAATTTGGAAATAGGGCTTGCTAAATATTCGCAGCAACAATGCGATATCTTTATGGACCTTTGTTTGAAAATTATCTCAATTTTGAGCAAAAATGAAGTGATCCAGTTGAACTATGTGAATCCGGATGAAGACATAATAATGAGGGTATCTATTTTCCTTCTTGAAAGATTTAACGAGTATGTTGGGCAAAGATTGGAGATCGACGATAGTACTCTTGCTACAGCAACATCTGACCTTCTCGCGTGGCGTAAACGTCAACATATTAGAAAGCAATACAACTGTGGGAAATGCAATGGAATAACATATGTTATAAACAGTTAAAATTAGTCATAGTCTTCTGAAAAATATGAATTTATTCGGTTTTCTGTATATCTAATCAATTGCACATCTGGCGCGGTGCACCACGAGGCCACATATAAATAGCATGAGTTCGATTACTGTTCCAGTGTGACGTGTACATGTGAGTGAGAATGCATCTAAACAATTTAGAAAAGCAAGTGAAGCAACATTCATTAAAGAAAAAACTATAAGGAAAATTATGAGTGAAGAGCAAATAACGTACAGAAAAGCTTTACAACGTTATCTGGAAAAAAAAGAAAAAAACAGGACAGAGATCCCTCATGGAGAAACTATCTCATATATGACAAGCAGCGTTGAACTTTCTGGTAAAGAAACCTATAGTGCAGTACTGAAAAAAACTAGGCATCAAGAACCAATAATACAGATACAGGAAGAAATCCAAGAATCAGATGAAAGTACTCCAGACAAAGTCACTAGATTGAAACGGAAGACTACAAAAAAAACAAATAGAATAAATCAAAGGAGATCTGAACTACCAACGGAGCAATTAGTAGAAGTTATGGACGAGGTGAACCATGCATCACAGAAAGAAGAAGACAAAACCATGAAAAAAGAAAAACAACATAAATTACATTTTGAATGGAAAAAGATGTGGCTGAAATTGAAATCTGTATGTATGTCTGAGCGTAAATTTGAAGAAAAGCTGTTACAAATGTTGAAAATTATTGGTGAGGAAATTAAATTTTTTTTAGTCAATATTTTATTTGGAGAAGATTTAGCTGGTTTCTTAAATTATTTTAACAATGGATAGTCGACAAAAAATAGCAAAGATGAACATTTATCAATGGAATTCACAAAGTTTTCGTCCTAAACTTGTACCATTTTCTGAACTTTTAATACGGGAAAGTATACATATTGCAATATTAAGTGAAACATGGTTTGATTGTGAAATGGATATAAATATTAATGGCTTTAATATATACAGAAAAGATAGAGATGACGGCTATGGTGGCGTAGCTGTACTAGTACATAAATCTATCCAATCTCACCTAGTTCCTTTACATTTTGGTAATGTCGGTATTGAAGGTGTATGTGTTAGGTTAGTGAATTGCAAAGACATAGAACATGTAGTATCACTTTACTGCCCTTCATCTGTTCGTACACAATTATCGGAGTGGGAAAGTGTTTTCTCTCAATTTTCCAATAAAACAATTATAGCTGGTGACTTCAACGGTCATCATTCCAATTGGTCAAGCAAATCAGATGCAAGAGGATCACAAAAATGGATGCGGTTATGGATAATAATTTCATACCCTTAAACAATGGCTTGGCAACACGTGTCAAACTAGTCAATGGAAATTTACAACAAACTTCTCCAGATGTAACATTTGTAACTACTGACGTTGCAATAAAATTTAACTGGCAGGTTCTCAATGAAAATTTAGGTAGTGATCACCTTATTATTAAATTTTCTGCTCATTTATCTTCAGTTGTTCACATTATAAAAAATGGAATTTCAAATACGCTAACTGGCCCAAATTTCAACAGACAATATCTGAAAAAATTGATGAATTTAGGGAAACCTCAGATGATAGCAATGTCCAACAGATGTATAACTTTTTATGTAACTTAATCGAATATTCTGCAAAAAAACATATTCCGCGAATTAAATTTAATATTGAACCGCATGAAAAATTTAAACCAAAAAACTACTGGACACCAAAATTGTCAGAGTTAGTTGCTCAACGAAGATTAGCCTTAAAAGAATTTCGTAAAAATCCGACCCCTGAAAATATGAGCAAATTAGAAACAAAAACTGTAGAATCTCAATCGCTAATTAAAAAAGCAAAGGCAAAAGGGTGGCAAGATTTCTGTGATTCAATCGATGAAGTTACGTCGGCCTCTGAAATGTGGCGCCGCATGAGATGGGTGAAAGGTTGTAAACAACAAAAGTCATGTCCTTCTATAAATAAACAAATAGACCTCTTACGATCGTTAACCCTGATTACGCACCGAGTCCTATGCCTTCTTTTAAATCTAGAAATGATATGTTAGAAGCTGAATTTTCTATACAAGAATTGAAAAAATGCCTGAAAAAAAAAGATTCAGCCCCCGGACAGGACGGGATATCTTACTCAATGCTATATAACCTACCGGAAGCGGGAAAGGTATTTTTACTTAAGTTATATAATTATATATTTAAATTTGGTATCGTCCCCCAGCAATGGCGTAGCATACAAATAATCCCTATACCTAAAAATGGAAATGACTGTAATGCAAAGTTAAGACCCATTTCGTTGATGTCGTGCATTTGCAAAATCTTTCATTTATTAATGTGTAAACGAATAGAATGGTTCGTAGAAAATAACAAGATTTTATCACCGCATACTGTAGGATTTAGAAAAGCTCAGTCATGTTTAGATTCACTGTCACGTCTCGTTTCGTATATTCAAGTAGGATTCTCCAAAAATATTCCCACAATCGCATGTTTTTTAGATATTGAAAATGCATATAATAATGTATCCATTGAAGCAGTAACAAAAAGCCTAGATAATCTACAGGTTGGGTCAAAATTTTGCATTTACCTTTGGAATTTTATGAACGAAAGGCACTTGGTAATTAAATCTCTTAATAATGACGGATTAACACCTAGGTGGACTAATAGAGGGTTAGCACAAGGAGACCCGCTGTCTCCTTTACTGTTCAATTTAGCCACTTACCAAATGTGTGATAAATTACAAAACGTGTTCTTCACTCAGTATGCGGATGACTTTGTTATTTATATTGGTGACAAACAGATTGAAAAGTGTGGAAAATACTTGCAAGACAACCTCAACTGTTTGGTTGGGTTACTGGGTGAGATTGGATTAACTTTCGCCTACAAAATCTAATTACTGTATTTTTAGTAGAGGCCGGAGAAAGATAGTACCAACTCTAAAAATTTATGACCAACCGTTGTCTATGGTAGAATGTGTAAAGTATCTTGGAGTATGGTTAGATAGAAGCCTTTACTGGAGAAAACATATAAGCGAGATTATAGCAAAATGTTCAAAATATCTAAATTTATTGAAAGTCTTAGCCGGTGGTACCTGGGGAGTACACCCTAAGCATATACGCAAACTATACATATCAATAATCAGAAGTCGACTTGATTATGCATGCTTTTTATATGATACTAGTGCAAAGACAAATATAGCTAAATTGGATAAACTCCAAAACCAAGCTCTTAGAGTGATAGGAGGTTTCATTAAAAGTTCACCGATCCATGTAATGGAGAGTGAATTGCACATACTTCCATTATTTTTAAGACGACAATACCTAGCTTATAAATTATTTTGAAAACACTATCTTGGTCTAACAGCCCCAGTAAAGACATCATTCTAGAATTAAACTCGCATATTCATGACCCCTATTGGACAAATAAGAAGAAACCTTTGCTCGCCACAGTTTTTAATGAATTGAGTCAACTCCAGTTAGCATCTTCAGATATATTTAAAATGTTCATCCGATATATGGGTATCGGCTATTCAGATTGAAAATACTATTCAATGTAATTTAGAAAGTGTTAGACAACCAAAAAAATATTATGACCCTAATTTATTAGTAACAGAGGTGGTATCCGAATTAGCTTCCAAATATGAAAACTACTGTAAAATATTCACGGATGGGTCAAAAGTAGCAGGGGGGGGCGGAGCGGCCTTCTATTGTCAAAGCTTAGGGGATAAATTTATATTTAAAATCACCATCGACGTCTCCATTATGTCGCTGGAACTCATTGCGATATATCAAGCTATACTTTATGCAGTAAACAAAAAATTAAATAAAGTTGTTATTTTTACTGATAGTAAAAGCGCTTTACAGCATGTGGCTCGATGTACCTCTGGTTGCAGAGGAACAGCGATAGCCTATGATATTCTCAAATTAATCCATTATCAGAACAATAATAATATCAATATTGTATTGCAATGGGTTCCAGCACATATCGGCCTCCGGGGCAACGAGGAGGCTGACAGCTTGTCCAAGCTTGCCGTTGACTCAGGTAATGAAAATATACCTACCAGATTACTGGGAATATGTCAACAGATTCAAGGATGAATGTTACACAAAATGGAAAAACCATTTTGATGAAACGTCTAGAGAAAAAGGGATATGGTACAAAGTGATACAAAGTGAGCCTCCTCGTATGCTGTGGTTCGATGATGACAAATTAAATAGAGAGTATATTAAGTTAGCCTTAAGATTACGCTCTGGACACTTTCCATCAGCAAAGTTTGGATATCTTATGGGAAAAGTCGCATCACCTTATTGTTTATCTTGCAACAAAATTGAAGATATACTTCACTTGCTGATGGAATGTATCAGAAACAAGAATGAGAGAGAATCATTAATTGAAGAGTTTAAACTAAATGTTTTAGATGTTGGGTTAGTACTGACAATTTTGGCAAGTCCTAAATCTAAGTTAGCAGTAAAATTAAGTAGATTATCAAAAATACCCGATTGATGATTCTCTCTCAATAAATTTATTTATTTATATTATTACTTAAGGTAGTGTAATTAAAACTAAGAGGGTACGATGGGGTTGGCATATCCATGTGGATAAAAACCCCAAAATAAATAAATAGAAAAAAAAAAAAAAAAAAAAAAAAAAAAAGTGAAGCAACATTTTTTATAGTACCTATATTTATGTGTTTTTATGGAGGTCTCTCCTTCTCGGGGTTGACCCGGTGAAAATAGACACCAAGTCCCGCGACCCGCAGGAAAAACAATGCTCATAGCCCCCTTCTAAATCTGAATTCTAAATCTCCTTCTTCCTCTTCTGCTGACTACTTAGCTGCTGACACTGTTTATGTGTGGTGTGAACTTTGTGTGATGGTTGATTGAGTGGTGTGTGGTGTGTGCGCTTGAGATGATTGTAATTGATTGGAATCTGGAATGTTTGAGGCGAACACTGTGTCACCTAGTACTTTGCTAAGAATGATTGCTGTGTGAATGGCGGCTTGCTTCTGTAGAAGTGTAATGTC